GGGACCTCCCTCCGGCGGTCCTGGGCTGACCCCTTCACGTGGCTTTGGTCAACGGAGCGCGTGCCTCTGTGCCTTGGTTTCCCCATCTGCAAAAAGGGTGCTGTAGAGGCCACCACTCCCCGAGCCGAAGTGAGATTCAGTGTGGTGCGTGCAGGGAAAGCGAGATGTGAGCAGCTGTTAGAAATTGGAAGGATGACCTACCCCAGCCCTGATTTTCAGAAGGGGAAACTGAGGCCCAGGAGGGGCAGCCTCTGCCTGAGTCACACAGTCAAAACAGAGCAGGACCAGGATTTGAACCCAGATCTGTTGGCGAGCTGGGCCCAGTGGCTTCGCCTCCCCCCGCCCCCGGCCCCAACGCTTAGGCTCCAAACCCGGCCTCAAGAACCAGCAGCCCCCGTACGATGCTGCCTCCATCTTCATGCCGCCCTCCAGACCCACGAGCACCGCATGGAGTAAGAAAGCCTCATGCCCTGCCCTTGGGACCCTAATCCAGTTAATGGCGGGGGGACCGGAAACTGCAAAAAGTGAGCTGCAAGATGAGGCCTGGCTTGCTCTGGCGACCAGGGAGGCTTCCTGGAGGAGGCAGCACCAGGAAGGTGAGAGCCGAAGGACAGGAGGAGCAGACAGGGGAGGAGCCCGTGCGGGGGCCTGGCGCCAGACGGGATGGCCAGGATGGGGGGCCGGTGCCACTGACCGCCAAGGGCTCCCTGTGGCCCTCAGAACTGCCCAGTGGCCCCTTCTTCCTGGTCACCCTCAGCAGCCTGGGCCTTTGAGGGTCAGCCCCCCCGGAGCCCCCAGAGAGACCACATTGCCGGCCTGGCTTTTCCCCAGAATGTCTGAGTCAGACCCCAGCTCCTCGGGCAGGCAGGGCGCTGGCGGCAGAGAACGCCCTCCCCACGTTTCCGGAAGGCACCAGGAAACAGGTGAAACAGGTGTGTGAGCCTTGCTAGCCTCGGGCTGGGGCCTCAGTTTCCCCAGTGGAGCAGTGGGCCGGTTTACACCGCCTCATCTATGAAGCTCGGGGAGCCAGAGAAGAGGGTTGCACTTGGTGTTCCGGGGGAGACAGGGGCACCCCTCGCTGCCACGGGCAGAGGTCAGTGGGGCCACCCTGTGAGTGGGGGCGCGGGCGGGCAGCGGGAGTCGGGCCGGCTCCCTGTCCGCTGCCCACGCCCCCTACCCAGGAACTAGGAGGGACAGTGCCCACAGGGGCCGCTGAGGAGGCACCCCGTGTTTGCACAGGCCACCCCGGAATGTGGCGGGACAGGCCCCGGGGGCCCCTGAGTCAGGAGCCGTGGGCACTGGGCCGGGAGGGGGAAGGGCCGCCCCAGGCAGCTGGCACCAGTCACGGAGGTGGGTGTGCACCAGGCACCGGGTGGGAAGAGGCTCTGTGTGGTCGGGTCTGTCCGCAGCTGGGGGGCCCTGCCTGAGCTTGGGGTTCGGGCTGGGGCTGGGGCTCGGCCCAGGTCAGCCCTCGCTCGCTCGCTGTCCCTGGTGCACAGCTGCCTGGCCAGGCACCCGTGGGGCCCAGGCGTGGACGGCACATGAGCTTCCCGTGCCCCGCTCATTCCTGCCCCCCGCACTGAGATGTCCCTGCTGGGGGGGCGGCACCACTATTAATGCACCCAGCTCCCCAGACCCCCACCCAGCACCGATGGAAGGCTGTCTCCTCACCCCCACCCCATCGAGAGCCTCCAATCGCCCCTCAAACCTACCCTTCCCCTGTCTGTCTGCTCATCACCCCCACAGGCCAGCCCTTCTTCCCCCTGATGTCGGTCTCCAGCACGTCTCAAATCCCTGCCATGGCTCCCTAGTGCCCTCACCTTTAGAGTCCGACCCCACCCCCTGACCTTGGCTCCTTTCCTTTCCATTTCTCGGGGCTTAGGCTCCTTGCATACATGACACGCGGCCCCACCTCCCAGCCTCTACCCCTGCAGGCTCCCCAGAACGGGGCTGGGGTGGTCACTGGGGCCCTGGGGGTGGGGTGGCAACAGCTATATCCCACCCACTGGACATCCAGCATGGCCAGCAGCCCCTGCGTCCCCGCCTGTCTCGTATCCAGGGAGACCCCAGCCCCAGGCCCACCCGTGAGGCCCTATGGAAATCAACCTCCTTCCCAAAGGCAGGGGGAAGGAAGGGAGGGAGGGAGGAGCCCTGCCCCAGGCCCCTACGGGAGGGTCGGGGGAGTGTGGACACGTCTGGGTCAAGCCCCTCCATGGGGGTCTGAATGGGCCAAGAACCCCCCAGCTTCAGTGGCTGTCGTCGTCCCTGCGTGAGTGCACGCTGGGGATGATGACACGTCTGTGCCGGGGTCTGGCTTCAGTGACAGCGCCCCTCCATCCTGCCAGGGCATCTGAAAACCAGCGAGGAGCCGGGGGGGGACGGGGGGTCTTCTGACACCCCAAGAGAAGGTCCCCACTTTGGAGACCAATGAAAACATGTGTCAGAAGGGTGGTCCCAAGGTCCTAAACTCAATTACATTCTCTCTGTGGACAAGTGTGACCTGAATGCCTTCCGTGTCTCTTCCAGAAGTCTCCACCACCATGCCTGTCCCTTATCTCCCCCACTCACTGCTGACACTCTGTTCTTGACATTAGTTTTGCCAATCAGAAGTAGGGGTCCCCCGACTGTGGGGTCCCCAGCCTGGGGTGTGGCTTGGGTGAAGGAGGAAGCAGGCGGGAGAGGCAGGGTGCTGGCTCTGGCCTGCCCAGGCCCAGCAGGGGAGCACCCAGAGGAGACAAAGGCCGTAGGCAGGCAGGCAGGGGCGGGCGGGCTGTGGGCCGGCCTCAAGGGGCCCCTGGCACCAGCCACTGGCTGCCTGTCCCCATGCCAGGGCCCTGTAGGGCTCGCCCAGGCCTTGGGGCCAGGCAGAGGTGGCAGTGTGCGGGGGCCCCATGGACAGCTCCACCCAGTGACTCAGCCCTTGCTGGGCCTCCCCAGGGAGGACAATGGTGGCTTGTGGGTGTTGGGAGGGCCTCCTGGCAGGTGTGAGCCCCAGGGTGGACTGGGCCCCAGGGAGGAGCTTTCTAAGCCTCAGTGTCCTCATCTGTACAATGGGTTCATCTCTCAGGTGTGAGAAGCTGACAGCCAAACATATGGATGGAAAGAGCCACATTTAGAGCCAAGGTGGGGGGCCTCTGATGGCCCATCTTGCCTTGGAGGCCTGTGGCCCAATGCCCAGCACCAAAAAAGGCACACAGTGCTCAATAATTGCATGGTCCATGAATGGATCTTCCCCCCACCTTCAGTGAGTGTTGAGGGCCACTCCAGGAGCCGTAACCCCAACGTTAAGGGTCAGACCCTCAGCATTCTTGGGGAAGGGGCAACTGACGTACCCCAAGTGAGGCTGGGACCTCGAGAGGCCTTGGCCCCAGCCTGGTCCTTGAGAAACTCCCCAGGCTGGGGGGTACCAGAGCAGGAATAGACCCCATGGGGTCAGGGTCGCGCCACACGGAACAGCTGGGGGCTGAGGGGGCCTCCTGGCGGCAGATGCAGGTCTATCAGTGGGGACAGGCTGCAGGCTGCAGGCACACACTGTGGGCACCAACTCTGTACTCATCACTGCGCCTTCCATTTTCCCGGTGGGGAAACTGAGGCCCAGAGAATGCCAACAATTTCCACAAGGTCACAGTGAGGCGGGAAGGACTGAGGAATTCGAACCCAAACCCCAAGAGCCACGCATCCCTCTTCAGGCTTACAGCACAGGGAGCCTCTCTGAGCTAGAAAGGATCGGGGTGCCGGTCAGCCTACTTGGGGTGCAGCAGAAGGGGCTTGTGCCCTTATTAGGAGGCCCCTGAGTCCTCCACTCACCCCTTACCCTCGACCCCCTTATTCCTTCCTGGGCTGGGAGCAGCACTGAACTGTGGTGATTTGGGGTTTCCAGGTGTGAGTGGGGGGTGGGGTGGGGGGGACATGCCAGACAGAGGGCAGGGCAAGGAGGTGAAAATGAGCCTGGCAGTTCCAAAATAGCAAAGCAGCCCCTGGTGGCCAGAGCCAGGTGGGTCAGGATGATGGTGGCCTCTTACAGGCCTGGAATGGAGTGTGGCTTTCTGGGGACCCAGGAAGCCATGAAAGATTGTGATATTTTCATTTATAATCTTATTATTCCCTTTCTGAAGAGTCTGTGGTCCCCTCAAAAGCTGAATTGCCCCTGGAGGTGGGAAGAATTTCAGACTCCAGAACAGACACAGACCACTGAAAACCAAAAGGCTTGGGTCCAGATTCCGTTTCACAGATGAGCAAACTGAGAATCGGTTAGGTCAAAGCAAGCAGCAAGTCAGAGGCACAGCGCGGGTTCCCTGTGGGCCTCTCTGACCCTGAAACAGAGCTGGCTTCCATTGCCCCACCAACGAAATGGGTCCGAATCCTGTCCTCTGGCCAAGGATGCCCGCTCCCAACAGCCAGTCCCGGGGGCCAGCCCTAGGAACTGAGACACGACCAAGCCCAAGAGGCAGAGCGGGCGGCTATGCAAACCTGATAATAAAACCCCAACCCTCCCGCTCCCCCCGCCACCACTTCTCTGGGCCTAACGCTCCCAGAGTCCCACCTCTTTCTTCGCTATACCGCGAGGAGGAGGGGCAGGGGGCGGGGCCGCCTTAGGAATGGCCAACGAGCCCGCCAATCGCAGTTTCGCGCCCGCCGATTGGCCATCGCTGCCGTGCCTTATCTTTCCATCTCACGGTTCATTCCCTCTTGCGTCACGGGTGTGTTTTCTTCCTGCGTGCGCCTCCGCGCTGAAAGATAGTCCTGGCTGCCTCCCCGCGCCTTTGGCAGGAGGCCCGCCTGGGCGCCCCTGTTCCCAAGCCGCGAGACGGACGAGCTCCAGCTGCTACCGCGGGCGCGCTGGAAGGCGAGCCGCGGGGATCAGCGCAGGCCGAGCGGGCGGCGGCGGAGGGATTCGCGGCGGCGCCGGGCGGGGCGCCGGGCGGGGCGAGGGCGGGGCCTGGAGGGGGCGGGGCAGCGCGCGGGGCGGGGGGCGGAACATGTCTCCCGCCGCAGGAAGATGAGGCAGCGGCGGCGGCCGCGAGCGTAGCGGGCCGGACCGAGCCCAGCGACGCGGGCGGCGGGTGCCGCAAACTCCTCACACGCCGTCCCCGCCAGCGCCCCGGCCGCGGACGGGCCCCTCGGGGCGGGCCGCGGGGAGGGCCGGGCCACGCGCGCCACTGCCGCCGCCCACGCGCGACCCTCGGGGGCCCGGTGCGACGCCCCTTTGTCCGGGGGGGCCGTTCATGCCGCCGCCCCCCGCGCTCTGCGGGCCGGGCCGCGCCGAGCAGGTGAGCACGCCGGGACCGCGGGCCCCGCGGCTTTGTGCGAAGTTGGCCCGGCCCCCCCCCGCCGTTCCCCCGCCCCCCCCAGCCGCCGCCGCGGGCCCGGGGAAGTTGGGGCGGGGGCGCCGTCCGGGGGTGCGCTCCCGCCGCGCCGCGGGCCGGGCGTCATTGTTCTCCCAACTTTCGGCGCCGCGCCCCCCGCCCGCCGGGCCGCTCTTGGCGAAAGTTTGCGGCGCGGCGGGCGGGGCCGCGGCGGGGCCCCCTCCGCGGGCGCCGGAGTTGGCGGGGGGCGGGGGGGCGGCCTTTTGTCTGGCGGGGAAGGTGCGGCGGCGCGGCCCGCGGGCGCAGGTTGAGGGCCCGGCCGGGGGGGGGGGGGGGGGGGGGGGGGGGGCGCGAACATCTGCTCCGCGTTAGCGCGGCCCGGGGCGGCCCGGGGCGGCGGCGGCGGCGGCGGCCCGGCTTCAAAGGCCCGCGGGCCGAGCGCCTGCACCGGCCGCGGCGGGGGGGTGGGGGCGGGGCGCGCGGGCCTCCCCCGGCCCCTCTGCGCTCTGAGCCCGTTTCCAGCCCCCCCCCGCGGGGTCCGGCGACACCCCACAAGTTTCCAGTCTCCCCCTCCCCCGGGTCGGCCCTGAAATCGGTTTCAACCACCCCACAAAAAAGTGCCGGTTTCGTACTCCTCAACAAAGTCAGTTTCACACGCCCTGCGAGAGCGGGAGGGCTTGGGGGAGGGGGTGCGCAGGGGCGGCCGTTTCACACCTCGCCCCTGGTTGGCAAACAAAGCGGGGGTTCCTCCGCGCCTGGAGCTGGGTCTCCCTCGACCTCGGAACCCCCTCTCCCCCGCAGCCTCCGTGGTTTCCGCGGGGCCGCCCCCAGCCTGGGAGCTCCGCACCGCAGCCGGAGGGGCCCCGCGCTCTGTCCGCGGGACGGAGACTCGCCCCGGTCCCTTCTCCGGGGGTTGGGGAGGGGCAGGCAGGTGACTCTCCACCCCCGTTGTGGAGTGGAGGCCCCTGGGACCCTGCGGGGGAAACCCTGGTTTGGGGGACCCCCCCACCCCCCCTTTCAGCAAGAGGCAAAGGCTATGTTTTCAGAGTTACTTAAAAATAATTCCCGGATACTTCGTGACAATTAAACAACCTAGGATTGGTGTTTTTTTCCTTTTTTTCCTTTTTTTTTTTTTTGGCGTGTGAGGGCAGGAGGTTAAGAGTGGAGGGGACCTTTGTAAGTAGGTCCCTGTGTAGGGCACTCCCCCCAAACTCCCTCGTTTGCCTTTTTATCGAAGAGGTTTTTTTTTTTGTTTTTTTTTTTTTTTTGCTTTGAGTTTGGGGTGACCTGGTTTTCAGCACGCTGTGACTGGGGGTGGGGGTCACCGAATTTCCCCTGGGATGAAGCCGGGGCCACCCTCCCCCTTCCCTGGGAGGTGGAAAGGAGAGATTGTGGTGGGCAGAGGGGCGGGCCTGGCCCCCTGGGGAGGGACCACTCCCACCCTGCAGCCTGTGTGAAATCTGCAGTCTGATTCCCTGGTGGTCTTGGAGGGAGTTTAGAGTGTGTGTTTGCAGACTGCCCACCCCCATCGGTCAAACTCCCTGAGGGCTCTGGGGAGAGGTCTCCTGGGGCCCAAATCTGGAGTCCCGCCTGCCCTGCCCCCACCCCCTGGTCGGGAAGGGGCTCTTTCTGGGAAGACCCAAGCCCTCAGGGCAGTTACAAGAGCTTTTTAAATAGCTCCCCCACTCCCCATCTGTCCGTCTCTGTCATGGTCACTCAGACCTCTTCCTCCCCTGTTTTTCTGTGCGTCTGTCTCCTCCCCTTCTGTAGGGCTGTTTCTAGGCCTGAGGTGCCCACCCTGGCCCCTGGAGAATGAACCAGCCGCAGAGGATGGCGCCCGTGGGCACAGACAAGGAGCTCAGTGATCTCCTGGACTTCAGCATGGTAAGCGGGGGCCCTTCCTGGGCGCCGCCTCTGCCTCAGCGTGGGCTGCTGGGAAAGAGGCTTCGGCCAGGAGTACCGCACTCATCAAGAGCTGGGCCTGAGTGGGGTGGGCGGAGGGGGCTGGCGGGGGGGCTGGCTGGGGGAATTGGGGTGCATTGGTTGTGGGGAAGCAGTGGCCTTGGTCTTCCGATCTGGAGAATGGGTGTGATCAGGGTTATTTATTCCAGCGTAGACTCAAAAAGAAAAAGGTGCCCTGCACGAGATGACCGGTATGGGGACCCTTTTGAGGGAGGCAGAGGACGCAGACATTGGAAGTCTAAGACCTCGGTTATTTGGCCCCGTGGCAGCTAGTGCGATGGTCAGGAGCCGGGGGCCGGAGCAGGAGGGGGCGGGCGCGCAGGAGGGGATCTGGAGAGTGTGGGGGTCCCTGGGTAGCAGGGGCTGCCGCTGTCACTGCTGTGCTGGCAGGGCGGCAGAGCCTTCCTCACACTTCCCAGGCCCGTGCGGTGTCCCGTAGCGTCCGCACACGCCTGGCTGGACGGTGCTTCCCAGGGTGGGGGGCTGGCTTCCCGCCACACACGGCTCAGCGCACCCCCTGAGGCTGGGAGCCGGAGCTCCCTTGGGTGGCTGGAGCACATCCTGAAGGACCAGGGGCCTCTGTGTGCCTGTCTGTGCAGTGGACCCCCTGTCACAGGTGACCTCCAAAACCCTGCGCCCCGCGTGCACACGATTCCTCTGTCCTGCTCCCGCACCCCCCGCCGAGCGCCGTGTTGATTTGAAACGTTGGGGGAGGGTGCTTTCGGTCTGAATTTACCCCTCTGCCAGGACAAGGCCCAGGCCACTGAGGCCTGTCGAAAACAAAAGTCCCCAAACCGAAACGACACCAGCCATCCTGTGGAAAAACACAGCCCACGGGACAGAGGGGCTCTGGCTCCGGAAGGGCCATTCTGGTATTTTTGAGCCATTTTTAAGCCCCGTTTTATTTTTGCTTTCCTGGCTGAGTACCCCGGGGTACAGTTCAGTTGTTTTTTTTGTTAAACTGACAAGTCACAGACTATTGGGCTGGAACCGGCGGGGGCGGAGGTGGGCACAGCTTTGGACCTGTGGCCGCTTCGCCTCTTCTGCCTAAGAGCCCTGAACGCTGCTTCCCCTGCCCCGTGTGTCTGGTGGGTCCGAACATCTCTCTCACATATACCCCTTCCTGCTCACAGCCCACCCCACAGGTGAGGAAATTGAGGCTGAGGGTTAAGGTGGCCTGTGCGTCCCCTGGAGGAAACGGAGCTGGATTTCCATGGCAGCGCACAGGCTGCTCCCCATTTCTGTCCATCTGGAGCTGCCCCCCCCCGCCCCGAGAAACTGAGTTGATTTACATTTTTTAAAATAGCTTGGTTAGACTGGAAGAGAAGATCTTGAAGGGAAGCGCTCGCCGGGGCCAGGGTCACGGCCAGCGGCGGGAGGGGCAGCCGCAGGAGCGGGAGGAAGGAGAGGCAGGAGCCGCGGTGTTACAGCTGGCTCTGCCAGGCCGGCGTTCTTGGGGTGCGGAGGGCGCCCCGGGCCGGAGCCGCGCTCCCCAAGCAGGCTGGTGAGGGGCCGGGGGACTGGTGACGTGGCTGGCTGCCCAGAGGGATGATGAGGGGTGATGGCACTTGCAGGGGCTCCCGTGGGCCCACGATGCCCTTGCCCGATGGGGTTTGTGCCTCCCACGTGCTCAGGACCTTGAGTCCATTTCACAGAAGAGAAGATGGGCTCTAGGGTCCAGGGGGGCTTGTCAGGGCTGACGTGGTCCACTGCCCCGGCGGCAAGTGCCACATGCGCAGCGCCTCTGGTGCCTTAGAGGACGAAACCGACACGTGCGCGGCGCCCCGTGTCCCCCCAGGGGCTTGGTGGGTTCTGGTCTTGGCTCAGGCCAGCCCCTCCCTCCGTGCAGGCCTCAGTTTACCCGGTGGGACATGGCTCTTCTGAGAGAACAGGACCCTGGGGAGGCTGGGCCAGTTGAATGAGCACAGCCACCCCCCCCAGGAGTGGGGCTCAGACCCACCAAGAATCTGCTTCCCGCCGGGCTCCACGCCTCCCGTGAGCCTCTGCTCCCGTGCCTGCCAGGGCCCAGTGAGCACATGGCCTCTGGTTCCCTCCTGCAGAATGGGGTGTGGGGACGGGACCCGACTTCCTGGGGCCCTTGCCCGGCTGCCCCAAGAGTCCTCCTGCCCAGGGGCCCCTGCCCTGACCCCCTGGCTGGCGGGGTAGGTCGGGAGCTGGTGGCTCTGAGCCCACCTGCCGGTCACCACTCGGGCGCTAGGTGGGGACTTCAGGGAAGCTAGACTGGGGCGGGGGCGGACGGCTTTGTTGATGTTGGGGTTTCCTGGCTCGTGCTGCTAAGCTGTTTAATCTCAAGGGACTTAACGCAGGGTTTGGGTAAACCGGGGGACAGGAGGGAAGGCGCCCGGGGGGAGCCACCCGGTCACCTGGGGGAGGGGGCCTTTGCAGCTTTCCCCACGTCTCTCCAGCTTCCTGTCCTGGGCCTCAGTTTCCCCTGATACACAGCCCAGTGATGAGCACCCTGGGCAGCCGCTGTGTCCAGAACCTGACGTGTGGGGGACCCTTGACCCAGGCCGCCTCCTCCCGCCCGAGGGCTGGCTGCCTGCCACTCAGGGCCAGGGGCCCACGGCCTCGGGGACGGTCTGTGCTTTGCTGCCCCCGCTGTGGGTGTGAGTGATCCGATTCCCTCCGGAGGAAACCAAAGAAAAACTTAGTGCCCTTTCTAAGGGCAGATAATTCAGTTTAAGTGCTCAGGAGGGTTGCTGTGGCCCCAAACAGACTGCACAAATGGCGGAGGGTGCGCACGCGTGTATGTGTGTGTTTCATGGTCATCTTTTAAGTAAGTTCAAGCCCGGCATCCAGAGACGTGTGCTCCCCAGCTGGGCGCCCGGGCAGCTTGGAACCTCCCAGACCTCCCGCTGCCGGTGCGGACCGTGGCTTCGGGGGTTTGCTGAGGGCCCTTCTTGCGTACGGAGTGGGCCTTCTGCCTTGTCCTGCCTGGGGTTTCCCATGGGACCGCCTGGCCCCCACACTCACCTCATTCTCTCTCTCCTCCCGCAGATGTTCCCACTGCCGGTGGCCAACGGCAAGGGCCGGCCCACCCCCCTGGCTGGCGCCCAGTTTGGAGGCTCAGGTAGGACTCTGCTGCCTCGGGGCCACTCCCAGACTCGGCACCGGAGGAGGGGGCCTTGGGGTGGGGGTCCTGTGTTACAGAGGGGCACACGTGAGGTGAGGACTTGAGCCTCCCGGGTGCCCCTGGGTCCCCAGTTGAAGGGGGAAACTGAGGTCCAGAAGATAAGAGACACGGAATCTAGCTCTTGCTAAACGGTGCTCACCCTGTGAGTCCAGGGAAAGGCCCAGCTCCAGGCTGTTGTTTTCAAGTTTATGTCGTGAGTCAGCTGCACAGGGGACCCGGCACCGGGTGACCAGCATCCTGCCGCAGACCTGGGGCCGTTCCCGGGATCGAGGATTGAGCATTCAGACCAGGAAGGTCTTCGGCAAGCCCGGAGGAGCTGGTTACTCTCCTGGGCACTGAGGGCCCATGACATGATGCGGGGGAGGGACAGAGGTTCCTTCCTGCTCAAGGAACCCAACAGGAGGGGTCAGGGAGGAGGCTACCTCAGAGTCAAGGTGCTCCGTTCAGTGTCTAAGGAGGTGATGTTTGAGCAGAGACCAAAGGGCGGTTCAAGGCAGAGGGCACAGCCCATGCAAAGGTCCTGAGGTAGGGCCTGACTTGATGTGTTGTAGGAAAAGCGAAGGGGCTACTGCAGGTGTTCAGGGCCTGGGGTTCCGGAAGGACTTGGGCTTTTGCGCACGAGTTGGGCATCCTGGGCTCTGGGTAGAGCGTGGTGCCCCGTGCATGTTGGGAAGCCTACCCTGGCTGTTGGTGGGATTTGGGGGAGCCCTTCAGGGAGACGGGGATTTCCTGCCACTGTATGGACTTGGGTATCTTTCTGGGGCCACAGGACTGGGTGTGCGTCTTTCTGTGACCCCGGGATTTGGAACGGAAGTGTCTTTCTTGGAGGCGTCTGAATTCCATTGGGGTGTCCAGTGTGCTGGAGGAGGGGGTTTTCAAGGGTGGTTTGTGCTCAGGCACCCCCCCAACAAAGGGAGGGACCTGGTACCATGTCCCCCCTCCCCCCCTCCCCGGTGCTGGCCTTCCCCTCTGCCTGAGGAAGTGGCTGTGGGGCTGGACAGAGTCCTTTCTGCCCTGCGGAAATCCCCACAGGCCGACCTCCCCCAGCGGAGTGCCACCCCTGCCCTACCCCTCCCCTCCCCGTCCTTCTGTGGGCAGAGGGTCCGCCCCGGGGCCTCCTTGGAGGAGAGGAGCACAGCCACCTGCCCTCGTTCCTCCCTCCCCCAGGCCTCTGTCCATCCCCCATCCCCAGTCTTTTCTCTTCAGTGTCCACCCACCCAGACAGCAGCCCCAGGCCCCCGAGGCCGCAGCTTCTGGGGGAGGGGCTCCTCCAGGCTGGCCCGCCCTCCGGCCCTGACCACTGGGACAGGGCTGTCTAGCCTCGTCTGGACCTCGCTGACTGGTCTGGCCTGGGAGACGCCCCCTGCCCCTGCCCCCATCCAGGACACGCAGCTGGGGACCCCTCGCCTCGTTCGGGGGTGCCTGAGCCTGGCGGGCACCGGGGCTTCCGGGCCCCTCCTCACCGCTGCCCCAGGCACGGGACGAGCCGGCTCACCTGTGTTGGGCGGCGTGACGGAGCCTCAGTTTCTTCATCTGCAAAAGGACATCTGCCTGCGGCCAGATGATTCAGGGAGTGGGCGGGACTGCCTTGTAAACGGGGCACGGGCGTGTCTCAGTGGGACCCTCCCAGCCCTGCCTGGAGGTCCCCGGCCCCAGACCTGGGAGCTCCAGGACCAGGGGTGGCCCCCACAGAGGGCTCTCCCTCCCGCGAAAGGGGCGGGTCCCTGCTTGTTGGGAGTTGGGGCCCCAGGTGTGTGCTTGCCAGGGGCTCCCGGCTGCTGGGGGCCCGGTGTGGCTGTCGTCCGCCTTCCCGCAGGGCGCCTGCACCGGCCGGGGGGGCGGGTCTCTGAACGTGGCCGAAGTATAAGCTGAGTGGCGTGTGGGGTCCGCGGGCAGCCGCGTCTGGGGGTTTGTCTGCACGGTCTTTCCGCCCGCTTGTTTTCTGGTCAGGACCTGGGTGGAGAAACACCAGAAAGAAGAAAACTTGAGTTCCCCCCGCCCGGGAAAGCTTGGGGTGCAGAGTGCTCTGCCAGAGGCCGCAGGGCTTGGGCCACGCGGGACGGGACGTCAGAGGGGCTCACTGACGCACCTCTCCCGGGGGAGCGGGTGCGCGGGCGGGCGCTCAGGTGCCCTGGGCCAGCGCGGGTCTTCAGAGCGCTCCTCACACCTGGCAGGTGCCTGGAACCCGCCATTTCAGGGGCGTTCATGTGACCAGTGACGGCTGCCCATTATTTTGAAAGTTCATTGGCCGTGAGTTCTCATTGGGTGAATTTCCGTTACCATCTTGAGCTCGTTTGGGAATTGGTCACCTTTTCTGAAATCACAGTAGATTGATGGGGGCCTGCAAAGACCTGTCGCGGGAGGTCAAGGGCGCCGCTGCGCCCGCGGTGGCCTGCTGGCCCGGAGCCGTGCGGAGACGAGCATGCGTCTGTGCCGTCATCTGCCGGTAGCCCCGCTGGCCCGGCGCCGGTCCCCATCGGCGACTGCTGACCTGCCGGTGTCCAGCCGCACGGTTTTCCCGTGCCGAGTGTTACGCACATGAGCCCGTGTGGCCCGTGACCCTCTGAGCTTGGCTTTTCTGAGTGAGCGGAGGGCGTCCCGGGCCCGCATCGGGCTGCGGCTGGTCAGTCCCCGCGTTGCTGCCTGACGACCTGCGTCAGCACCGGCGCGCTGTGTGAGTCGTCCGCCCTCGCAGATTGTGACTTCGTTCTCGTCCTCACGGTGAAGACGGACCCGGCGTAGTAGCCGTCCCGAGAGACCACCCAGCGCTGTCTCCACAGCGTCCCGCACCCCTGCCCCGTGCGGCTCCTGATCGACGTGTGGGAGTTCTTCATGTGGGAAGGGTGTTCGTGTTCTGTGATCTGTAGCTCTTTCCTGACTGTGTTTATAGCTCGTTGACAAGGGAGAGTTTTAGCGTCTCTGTTTCGCAGTTTTTATGTTGTCGGATCTTGTTCGTTCATGGGGTCCTCCCCTTGGTGCCGTTGCTGAAAATTCCCTAATCAGATGACAGGGTCCATCGAGCCTGCAGACGTCAGGGTCCCGAGGGCACCTGCTCGCCGCCGCGTCGGGCCGAGGAGCCCCTGAACGCTGGAGGCGGGCAGGACGCGCGGGAGCGGGAGGCTGGAGACCGAGGTGGCGCTAACCTGGCGGGTCCCGGCCGCGCACACACGTGGGTCCACCCGTGGGGCTGCTCACGCCCCCTCCGCCCGCCCTGGGCCTGGGCCACCGACTGAAAGGCTGGCGGGGGCTTATAAGAGCTTCCGGGTGATTCTGAGGGGCGCATGTCCTTGGTAGAGGCACGTGTCCTTGAAAGGCCAGGCCTGGGACGGCAGGACCACACCCCCTTTGTGAAAATGGACCACATACCAGTCACTGCAACCCTGACCTAAGCAAAAGAAGCGCGAGTCCTGTTCCGTGACGACAGCAGTAAAGCTAGAAGGAAATAAAAGACCAGAAAGTGGAAAAGTCCTGGCCACTTGGAAATCCCGAAATTCCCTTCTGTCCGCCTGTGGGGTCAAAGCCCCGGCACACAGACCCGCAGCGGGGCCGGCGCGGGAGTCGCGGGGCGCGGCCAGGGCCTGCTGGGGAGGGCGCTCGCTCACGGGGACAGACGGAACGGAAAGAAAGGCGTTCTGTGTGACGGGAGACTGGAGCCCGGGGCGCCTCTGGGTGCTTTGAAGGGCGCGTCCCCGGGGTGGGGGCAGGCGGGCCGAGAACTTCTGTGTGTGGCTCCGCGGTGCTCCCTCAGCCCCGGAGCAGTCCCGTCTGCGTGGCTTGTCCCCGTCGACCCTCACGGTTTCAAGAATGAACGTTGGAGGCGCCTCCGCCCCATCATCGTATTGACTGTGCCTCCTTGTTGGCTCCACGTTGGCTCCGCGGTGAGACCGCCCTTCCCTCCTGGACTTCCCCTCCCTGCCCCGCAGGCTGCGCGCGTGCGCGTGTCCAGGGCCGTGGTCGCCGTGCTCCACTGGCCGTGGAAACACCTGTGTCATCTTTTAGACCCACGTGATCATTTGTTTAGAAGATGACGTCTTGGCATCAGGCTCCCGTCGAGAACCCTCTTTTCCAGGCTGGAAGCTAATGTGCATCCCTGACTGTCCACCTTCGAGGTCGCTGGTGCAGAGCTGGGTGTGGCCAGAGCCCAGGCCCCGTCGGGAAGACCCAGAGCCTCCTGCTCTCGCCGAGGGGCCGCTGTCATCGTCCGCGGCACCTGCTTCCCCGCAGCGCCACGGGTCGGGCCGTGCGTGTGCCGGACCCTGTGTGGCGCGGCTCATGGAACTCCCTTCCGTGGGGTTTTCTGGGTCGGTCCAGCCCGTCCTCCATGCAAGTGCCTGGGAGTCAAACTTTACTGCCCGGGTGGCTCTGCCTGGTGCGTCTGCCCGGAGCTCCGGCCTCCCCTTCTGCGCTCCTGGCGGGCGGGCGCCTCCTGGGATTGGGTCTGGGAGGCCGGTGCCTGTTCGCAGGGTTCGCAGTAACGTGGCAAACCTCCTGCTCCCAGCGCTCCCAGCCCTGGCGGGGGACACCCACGCCCCTGTCCCACGGGGCGCCCGCCCCGCCGCAGTTTGGGGCAGTGAATTGCCACTGTCCAGGCCGGCCGTCAGGGCGCCCGCCCTGCCGCTTGGGCTCTTCAGCCCCGGCTTCCCCATCTGCGGGCCGGGAGGCGTCACTGCCTTTCCAAGGCTTCGCCTGGCCGACAGCCGCCCGCACCCGGCACAGGGCAGTGTCTCCGGGCCGCCTGATGGCCGTTGCTGATCTTCGGAATCTTGGGCCGTCTTTCGTGTTCCACGCGTGGGTCTGTCTCGCGTCTGTTGTACAGAGGCCCCAGGTTGGGGAGGTTCTCTGTCCCCACGTTCGGATGCCACACGGGTCCCCCCGAGCCTGAAGCAGGATGAGGTTTTTGTTACCAGCTGGTCCCGGCTCTGAAATCAGCGTGGGGGGAGGGGCACGCCCGCCAGGAGTCGTCACCGCGCGCTGGGGGGACCATGGGAGGGCTGTAGGCTGTTGCCCTGGGGAGCGGGGAGGCGAACCCCAGGGTTTGGGGTCTCCTAGTGTTGGAAAGGGGGGGGCGTGACCCCACTTGCCCACAGGCCGTGAGCAGGGGTCCTGCTTCCCTGCCCCGCCCAGGGCACACCTGCGGCTGCGGAAGCTGTGCGCCTGCGCTGCTGGGCTTGCGTCCTGCGCCGCCCCCCCCCCCGGCCTTTCCAGCACCGGGGGCTGTGAGGCGGCCTCTGCTCATGGCCATGGCCAGCTCTGGAGGTCTTAAGTGCACACTCCGCAGCCCGGGGAAGGAGGCATCCTTGCGCGTGAACAGGGCAGAGGAGGGAGCGGAGGGCCGGGGACACGGAAGCGCGCCCCTCGCGGCGCTCCGCCTGGTCCTGAGCGCTACTGGGATCGCAGAGCTGGCCCCCAGAGTCCCGGGAAGAGTAGCCCTGGCTGTGGGAGGGCGCGGCCGGGGGAGATTGTAATTGTGAGACAGAAGAGCCGAAGGCTGCTGACAGGCCCAGGGTCACACCGGCCGCCTGGGGGGCTGCGAGGGGGGCCCCCCAGCGCCTGCTGCGGTGTTCTTAAGGCCTTCTTTTTTAAATTTATGTAATCCGAGCGACTGCGTCGGCAGGGGAGGGGCAGAGAGGCGGGAGAGAGAACCCCCAGCGGGCTCCGTGCTGATGGTGCAGAGCCCCATGCACGGGGCTCGAACTCACGAACCATAAGATCGTGACCTGAGCCCCCCAGGTGCCCCGGGCTTAGGGCGTTTGTCATTGTTTTCAGGTGCAGTCACTGCACACGCGGTATTGGCCTTTGATTTTGTTAGTTTATCATCATCACATTAGCCTTTCGGTTTGGGGGCCATGCTGTCGCCCCCGAGTTTACACAGGATCCTGTACGCCCCTAATCATGCTGCCACGTTTCAGACGGGCAGTAGGCACATGCGGCCGCCGTACGGCGCAGGCAGGTGGACGGGGTCACCGTCCAGGAAGTGCTCTTGGCAGCCAGTCCCGTTACAGGGACAGTGAGGCCGTGAGGTGCAGACGGCCCTGCGTGGGCAATGCCAGGGGTGCAGAGCAGACCCCGGCTGGGGGGCAGGGGTGTGGGTGGGGTCTGCTCACATGGTGGGGGCGGCGAGGGTGGTTGCAGAGGGATCTGGTCTCTGCCCTGAGGACAGTGGGAGGGAGAGCCTTCCGCTCTGGGCGGGGGCCCTCACAGAGCTGGGCTGACGACCACCTAGGTTTTGTCTGCCTCGCACCCTAACCTCGCGCCCAGCACCGGTGAGTCTGTGGGTCAGGCTTCTTTATACAGAGCAGCCAGCTTCAGGAATCTTCCTTCCTCCTGGGGCTGGCCGACCTTCTCTATAAAGGGCCAGCAGCTAACCTGTCCTGTCTTTGCAGGAACAAACAGACCCATGGTCGTGTGTCAGTAAAACTTTATTTACAAAACACAGGTGGGAGGGGGCTTGGGGGCCTGGCTTGGGCCCTGGGCTGCGGGCTTCCGCCCCAGTCCCAGGGGCACGCGGCCCAGCCCGCGGGCCAGCGGGGCCCAGCCCGCACCCGCTGCCCCCTGGCTCGGGTGGGGGCCGGGCTCTGCTGAGGGCCCCCGTCCTCAGAGCAGCCTGGGCAGGTGGGGTGGCACTCGAGGCCCGAGATGTGGCCCTGGCGGGGCACCCTCTGTCCTGGCCCAGCCTGCTGTTGCCTCCCGGCCTCACCTCCGCCAGCGCGTCCAGTCCAGCTTGAAAAAAGGGGCATAAAAAAATTACCAGTCTGACGATAATCCTTTATTCTATTAGTACGTTTTAATTAGAACAGGAACGAGGACTGCTATGAATATTCATGATGATTATTAACATGTATGATTAATCGCTGGGGGGCAACGTGGTGGGGGCGGGGCTGCTCTTATTTTTGTCACCTCTGGGGGGGGGCCGGGACCGTGAGGGCTTCTCGGGGCCTGGGTTGTGGGTGCTGAGGAGGAGTCGTCCTCTGACGTGGCCTCCCTGCACACCGTCGCGGGGTCTGCTGCCTCCGGGGGCGCGTTGTGGGTGCACACGGCGGGCTGGGGCGGCTCCGGAAGGAGAGGGTACCAGGCGTGTGCGGCCCAGGGAAGCTGAGGCTCCGGCTGCTGGCGCTCTGCCCCAGGCCGCCCCTGCCTCACCGGCCACCCCTGCCTGGGCTCGGGGACCTCAGGTACAGACCCTCCAACCTGGTGGCAGGTGCTGGAGAGCCCCCCCCCCCCCCCCCGGCTAAGACAGTGCCCCACTCCAATCACATTGGAATTTTTTGATTAGAAAATAAAACCTAAATGGACTACATGAATATTCATTAGGTTGGGGATTAATATGCATAATTATGCAAATCTGACAGCAATTAAACACCAGTTTGGGGGGAGACGGTTAACACAAAGGCGCAGCAATAGGATGAAATTTGAAAGGAGTTTCTGGTAAGATGAGCGGGGGAGGGGGGGCAGGCCAGCCGAAGGGTCAGACCCTGCCCCCTACCCAGGGGCCCAGCCCCGGCAGGTCAGGGGGTGATGGAGGGGCTTCTGGCTCAGACAGAGGGGCTGGGCACAGGTCCCTCCCCCCCATCACCTCCAGCCTGACCCGGGTCATGCAGAGTAGGGTCTGTGCATACAGACCTCCCGTTTACAATAGAGGGAAACTGAGGCATGGGGACAGAGTGGTCCTGTGGCCAGCGTGGGGCCCCGGACTTCTCGCTTGTGTTTGAGAGTCCAGGCCCAGGAAGGGTCTGCGCCTACTGGGTGGTGCCTGGGAGTGTTCCCGGAGATAAGGGCTGCGCCCCGCCCCGCCCCACTGCTGCAGCCCTGGATCCTCTGCCTCACCCCCCGCGCCTTGAGCCTCCGCTGTCCACGGGGTCAGCAGCAGCCCCGCACCTCTGGGGCTGCACGCCCCCCCCCCGCCCCCGGGGCTGCCAGCCTGTGCCCAGATGGTAGTCCCGGGCCATGCTGTTGCTTCAACTGAGGATTGGCCCCGCCTGCTGAATCGGCACTGACTGGACAGGAGACGCTCCTGCTTGCCCGAGATCAGAGGTCATCACTCCTCACCCTTCACCGATGTTCTCCTGAACCTTTCTTCGGGGAGGGACTGGGCCTGGTGCAGATGCCCCAGTCCCGCGTGGTCAGGGCTGGGCCAGAGGGAGAAACTAGGGGCTGGGGGGAGGAGCGTGGAGACTGAGGGCCCTGCCCAGGGTGGGCATAGTGGCTGGGGCTTTGGTGGACTGGTAGAAGTTTGCCAGCAGAGGTAGCTGGTAGAATTGTTTTTTGAACTGTGGGCCTGAAGGTAGGCTAACTGCCGGATGTCTGGGCCGCTTCCCACCAATGTTGGTGGTCTCGTTTTATAAGATTTTATTTTTTAAGAGAGAGAGAACGCTTGTGTGTGCACGCAGGTGCAGTAGAGGGGCAGAGAGAGAGAGAATGAGAGAGAGAGAATCCCTAGCAGGCTCTGTGCTCAGCTCAGAACCCAACGCCAGGCTCCATCTCAGGACTGTAAAGTCATGACAGGAGTCGAAATCCAGACTCGGACAGAAGCTCAGCCATCTGAGCGAGTCCCATCAGCAGTGTGAACAGGGGCAGAGTGCGGGTTGGGTGAGGCCAGACGGGCCTCAGGGCAGGCTGGATCCAGAAGGGCCCGGAGACCTGCTGAGTCGAATGGGGGCTTGTCCCTGCGGTGGTGGGAGCCAGAGCCGGCGTCAGAGCTGGGCCGCGGTGCTGCAGACCCTGACTCACTTCTCTCACCCCACAGGTCTCGAGGACCGACCCAGCTCGGGCTCCTGGGGCACCGGCGACCAGAGCAGCTCCTCGTTTGACCCCGGCCGGGTAAGGAGCCTCCGTGAGGCCAGAGACCTGGCGCTCCTCTCTCCGGAGCGGGGAGGGAGTATCCGGGAAGCTGAGGCTCCTGGGGCTTTGGGCTCAGACACACGGGTTCAGTCCCAAGTAGGGCGCTTGCAAGCCTGCCTGGGGGCTGTTTGCCTCACGCCCACCTGTCTCCCCCCAGACCTACGGCGAAGGCACACACTTCACTGAGCCCCACGGCAGCCTCTCTTCGTCCACATTCCTGGGACCCGGGCTCGCGGGTGAGTGCGTGGCACGGTCCGCCCCCCCCCCCCGCCGGTGTGTCCCCTTGGCGTGGCCGGTGCACTCCAGGCACCTGTGCTGTGGGGATCTCTCCTAGAGCGGAGGGCGTCGGTGGTTACGGCCTGGTGCCCGCAGGACTCCGCTTGGGGGTCCTGGCAACTCATGGAGGCAGCCCCTCCTTGCTGGGATTCAGGGGGGGGACTGTCCCCTCAGTGTCCTGACTGGGACGAGGATGCACCCAGAGGCCTCTGTCCCGGGGCCACTGGGGCCTGGATGGACGGTGGCAGGCACAGGTCCCCACGACGGGGTGCGAGGTCCTGTGAAGGGCGGGGGGAGGGGCAGCATCTGAGGACACGCCGTGCGGCCGGAGTCTGCGCCCATTTCCCAGGCCGGGAGGGCGGAGGCCGGCCCGGCGTGTGGCCTCGGGTGGCCTGTGCACCTGCAGAGACGCTGCTTCCCTTCTGCCTGTTCCTTCCTCCCGCTGCTTCCTGACGTGGGCAGTTTCCCACGGCCAGGCCTGGTCAGCAGCTGTGTCCCAGCCCCAGCACGGGGCACCCAGGCCGCCCTGGGTTTCACGTTGTCGCCGTCGGCCCGGCCAAGCTCCGTGGTGAGGCGGCGGTTCTACCACCCGGACGTGTGAGCCCTTCCATGGGCCCACGGGGCTCGTGGCCGCACCTCCTCTGCACCCTCACCCTGCCTGCCAGGGCCCGAACCCCAACTCGGTCTTCCCGCAGGGGAGCGAGAGGCTGGGAGCGAAGCCGCCTTCCTGGGCCGAGCCCAGGGCCGAGGCTGGGCGGGGAGCCCTTTTCCCCTGCTCACCTCAGGGGAAGGAAGCCACCGTTTACTCCCGGGACCGGGCAGACCCCCTCTGGCCTCCGGGCCCTGGGGAGGTGGAACCGGGGGTACAGCTGTGGGGCAGCCCCGGGCAGCACCTGCTTCGCAGAGGAGTTGGGCTGAAGCCAGCTCCACGGTACAGAAACTGGGCGGCTTTGTTCTGCGGTGTGAGCGGAACCCCGGACAGCTGGCCGAGTGTCCAAGTCCATCCCTCACGTCACAGCAGGTTATGATGTCCCCTCAGTCGACCATTCAGCTCGAGCCTGAATCAGTTTTAAGTGGCTCGGCTCCTGACTGGCCAGGGGCTCTGCCTCAGTGGGGCTCCGGCCGTAAGGCCGGGCCTCTGTCAGCATCGGTGCCACTGGGCTGGCTGTGTCCCCACAGGCCCAGGCCTTCCTGCCCGCACAGGGCCGGTCACATGCTCTCTCGGGGGCTTGGGTGGAGGCCAGGGCCCGGGTACTGAGCCTCTCAGGCGCTGTTGATGCCTCGGGACCATGCGCAGAGAACACAGAGGGCAAGTCGCTGCTGTCCCCTTGGGGACAGCACATATGGGGCCCCCGGTAGTTTGCCAAGGCCTCTGAAAGTCATCTTGGGACAGTGTTCAGACCCCTGCTTGTCCCCCAGCCTGACGGGGAGACCAGCGTTCCGCCAAAGCCCACTTGGTGTGCACTGATAGAGTGCCTGCTGTGTGCAGCCCGTGCCCAGCGGCAGGGCAGCTCCCAGCGAGCCTTCTCTCCTCCAGGCAAGGGCGGCGAGCGGAGCGCGTACACTGCCTTCGGGAGAGACGCAGGGCTCGGCGGCCTGAGCCAGGTGAGGTCCGGGCCGGGGCCCCTCTGCGCCCTGTGTCGGCCGCTCCTGCAGACTGGAGCAGGGCTGTGCCCGTCGCGCGCCCCCCGACCCCCCCAGCCGAGTCGGGCTGAGCTGAGAGCCGGTCAGGAGGCCGTGGCCCCTGCCTGTGGCTCCCGACCTGGGACAGCTGCAGTGGCCCGAGTAGCAGACAAGGACACCGAGGCGGGCCTGCAGCTTTCCGTCCCGCTCGTCTCAGGCTGGCCCTTCCAGGGAGCCCCTAGCACGGGTGGAAGTCCCACCCAGCCCGGCTGGGGGCTCAGTGACCAGCCGTGTCCCTGCGTGGCCCCCAGCCTGGGGCTCCCTGGCCTCAGTGCGGCCAGGCCGCGTCCACGCTGGTGCCACTCGTCTGTGTGCCGGGGGTGCAGCCAGAGTGCCCGGGACACTGGCGGGGAGGCAGAGGCCTGGAGCGGCTGCTCACCCCAGCTGCACACTGGCTTGAACCCTGGTCGGCTCTGCTCAGGAGGAAAGGGAGTCTGATTCAGATGAGAGGGTGCAGAGTTAGGCTGGTTACCTTAAAAGAAACAGCGAAGCCGCCAGGTCTCTCTGGAGTCTGGGATCGGCCACGGGTTTGTCGGCAACAGCTTTTCTCTGCGTCTCTGCCCGGGAAGAGCTGTGGGGCGTGCAGGTCGCGGGACCAGGACCGGTGTCAGGAGAGCCAAGCGGGGCAGGCAGGGGGCTCCACTGAGGGCCGCTGGCCCCCTCGGGCGGCCCCGAGCAGCGCGGCCAGTTGCCAGCCTGGCGCCCCCCCCATGACCTCTCTCTCTCATCCCCCAGGCCAGCTTCCTGCCCAGCGAGCTGGCCCTCAGCAGCCCCGGGCCGCTGTCCCCCTCGGGCACCAAGGGCGGCTCCCAGTATTACTCCTACACCGGCCACCCCCGGCGGAGAGCCGCGGAGAGCGGGCTGGGTGAGTGCGGGTCCGGGGGTGGGGGCGCGGCCCCTGCTGCGCCTTCAGCGCTCGGCTCTGGGCAGCAGTGGCGTGACTCACTCGCCTGGCGCGGGGTTTCCGTGCCGGCGCGTCATGGCCCTCCAGCGCCTGGGGATGCCAGCCCGCACCCCGGTGCAGCAGCGCGACCCACGGAACTCCGGGCGCGCGGTGGGCCACTGGGAGGACCCTGGTTTCCAGAAGCAGGCGCTCCCGGTCCCCCCGGCTGGGCCCCCTGTGTTGATGAGCCCCCCCACCCCGTCCTCGCGTTGTGTGTCTGAGTGGCCGCATGAGCCCTGTGGGGGGAGATTCTGGGTCCCTGGGTGGGGCGACAGGCGGGCTTGCAATGGCAGGAGCCAGGGCGGTGGGGACGGGCTGTGGGAGCGGCAGGGAGGGACAGAGCAGGGACCCCTCAAGACCCCGCCAGGCCCTGAGGGCCACTCACTCCTCTTGTTCCTGATAGACTCACAGCCCAAGAAGGTCCGGAAGGTGCCGCCGGGTCTCCCGTCCTCGGTGAGTCGCAGGGTCCCACAGGCCACATGCCCAGGCCCGGGGTCCTCTCTCTGGGGGTCCACCGCAGGTCAGCAGAGGCAGGGAGGGGGGCTCCCCGGCTGCAGCTGCGACAGCCGGTGCTGTGGGGGCCCAGGAAGTTCTTCTTCAGTCTAGCTCGGATCTTCTTGTAAGAGCCACATGATACTTGTGGCCAAGGCACCTTGGGTGTGATGGGGTCTTGGGGGCACCCTGGGGGCCCACGTCAGAGGGTCACGTGCCCCTCTCTGGCAGTGGAGTTGCCAGAAGGAACAGCCATTTGCTGGGTGTCTGGCCCCTGCACTGGCCTCCAGGAGCCCCCACGCCCCACAGCTGACCCAGGTTGCACTAGACCCTGGGGTCATGGTCACGGGGTTGGCGCTCTGGTCTGTGGCTGGGAGGTGCGGGCCGGGCTCCTTAGAGACCTGCGCTGTGATGCCATCGACCCGGCTTTCCCGATCTGAGCCCCCACCCCAGTTTCCTGAAACCCCAAAGCTGAGAGTCAGTCCCCACCCACCTCCTGGCGCTCACCCCATTTCCGCCCAGTGCCAGGGTGGGCGTTCCCAGCCGGCCTCCGCCCAGGCGGTGCCCCTCCCGTGTGGCACCACCCCAGGACAGCTCTGCCACCTGCTGCTCTGGACCCTGCCTCCCAGCCCCGCGTCGTATGGGACCGGGGAGGCTCCAGGGCAGGCCACGAGGGAGGGAGGGCTGGGGTGTCCCCGCTGGGCTCTGACCGCACTGAAGCGGGGGGTGCGGGGAGCATTCTGGGCAGGGGTCCAGGGGGTGGGGGGTCAGGAGAAGGAACAGGGAAGTAACGACGTCACCAGAGCCTCCAGTGCTGGGAGCGGTCAGCCGCACGGCGAGATGGGGTCCTCGCCCCGCCTGACGGCACCGCCCGCCCACAGGTGTACCCGTCCAGCTCAGGCGACGACTACGGCAGGGACAGCGGTGCCTACCCCTCTGCCAAGACCCCCGGCGGCACCTACCCCACCCCCTTCTACGTGGCAGGTACGTGGGGGCTCTCCTGAGGCGGCTGGGGCCGGGCCGGGGCCCCCGCCTCACCCTGTGACCCTCCGCAGATGGCAGCCTGCACCCTTCGGCCGAGCTCTGGAGCCCCTCGGGCCAGGCGGGCTTCGGGCCCGTGCTGGGGGGGCCCTCGTCCCCCCTGCCCCTCACGCCAGGCGGCAGTGGCTCCGGCGGGGGGTTCGGCAGCCTCCCGCCCCACGAGCGCATGGTGAGTACGGCCTGTGTGGTGGGGGGCGGGGGCTGGGGGGGCCGCACCCCGTCTGACCCCGCCTGACCCCCGCCCCCAGGGCTACCAGCTGCACGGAACGGAGGTGAACGGCCGGCTCCCTGCAGTGTCCACCTTCTCCGCGGCCCCCACGGCCGCCTACGGCAGCGGCGCCAGCCACACGCCCCCCGTCGGCGGGGCCGACGGCCTCCTGGGTACCGCGCCCTTCCCTCCTGGTCCTGCCCCACGTGCCCGCCGGGGCTCCTTGGGCCGCGTGCGCCGGGTTTGGAAATGGCTTCTGGAGGGTGGAGCCCGCTTTGCGTCCGGGGGGCCTGCTGCCCACCCGTCCCTGGGGCCCCTGCGGAAGCGTGGCTGGGACGCCAGGCCAAAAGCCAAGCTCAGGCCAAGCTGCCCGGCGCTGGGCACAGAAGGAGCAAGCACACGGGGGTCCGTGCCAGCCGGGCTAGGTGCTGGGGTTGCTGCGTCCCTGACGTTGGGCTTTGCGTCTCCCCCTTCCCCCCCCAGGGTCCCGCGGGACGACGGCCGGCAGCTCTGGGGACGCCCTGGGGAAAGCATTGGCTTCGGTGAGGCGTGGGACTGGGTGGCGGGCGTGGGTGTGGCTGGGCTGGGGGCCTGGAGCCCGCCCCTGACTCCCCCCCCCCCCCCGAGGGGTGGGCCTGTCTCTCTTCCTGTCACAGATCTACTCCCCGGATCACTCCAGCAATAACTTCTCCTCTAGTCCCTCGACCCCCGTGGGCTCCCCACAAGGCCTAGCAGGTGTGTGGGGGGTGCTGGGGAGGGGAGGGGGGCTGTCTGGAGGAGGTGATCTATGAGCCAGTCTGTGATGTGTGAGCAGTGAGGGGTGGGTGGGACCTTGCGGGGGCAGGATGTGGGGTCCACGGGCCAGAGTAGCAGGCAGGGACTCCCTCCCCCTCCCCCCGGCTCTGGAACACTCATGTGTTGGTGTCCATCCGCCCCCTGGATAGTAGTTAGGCACCAGTTGTGTGCCCTGTGCTTGACTCTGCCAAGGGGGCCAGATCCTCCTGTCCCCGAGAAGATGTACTCGGGGCTCAGCTGGCATCAGGAAGCCTCAGGGACCCTCGCCACTTCCTGGCCTGTGCAGGGGCCCGGGGCTGACCGCTGCCCTGCTCTGGCTTCTGTGCCGCGGAGCCCCTTCCCCGTGGGAGGTGGGGCGTGGGTTTGGGTTTAGACCCGCCTTGCGGGTGTTGGGGCCCCCGTGTGGCCAGCCCAGGCGTGACGGGCTCTGTGGCCACAGCCCCTGCCAGCGTCTCCCTCCCGCTCGGTCTGGCCACTTGCACCCCTGGCCATAGGTACCCCCACTGATGTGCCACCTACCGCTTCCAGGGACATCGCAGTGGACCCGGACGGGGGGCCCCGGTGCCTTATCGCCGAGCTACGACGGGGGTCTCCACAGCCTGGTGAGCTTCCTGCGCAGGCCTTCCGGGGGTGGGGAGCCGTCCCTAGTGGGGGTGTGCGTGGCCAGGGAGGGTTTGCCCCGTGGTGGGGGGGGGGGCATGGTCCACGTGGGTGTGACATTCGTGTGGACACAGGGACACCCTTTCCTGGGGCAGGGGGGTTGCCCGCGAGGGTGGCTCAGCGTGTCTGCTGTGGCCGGTTTACGGGACTGTGAAACCGTGTCCCGGAAGAGTCCTTAGGTCTCCCACCACCAGCGGAGTTTATGGGACAGACGCCCCCGGGATGGGGAACTGTGGAGCCAGAGCCCAAAGCTGGTGACGGTCAAAGCCACCGCGGTGGTCCCCTGGCCCCCGAGGCCGGGCCCTTCACCGTCCCCCCCCCAACCCCCCCCCGCAGAACAAGATGGAGGACCGCCTGGACGAAGCCATCCACGTGCTGCGCAGCCACGCGGTGGGCACAGCCGCTGACGCTCACGGGCTGCTACCCGGCCACGGGGCCCTGGCCTCTGGCTTCCCCGGCCCCGTCCTGCCCCTGGGCGGGCGACATGCCAGCCTGGTGAGTGCCGTCTGAGAGGGGGCTGCTCGGGGGCGAGGCGGGCGGCGTTGACGGACGAGTCCTCTCCCCTGCCTGCAGGTCGGAGGCGGCCACTCGGAAGACGCGCTCACGGGCAGCGGCAGCCTCCTGCACAACCACGTCGCCCTCCCCAGCCAGCCTGGCCCCCTCCCCGACCTGTCCCGGCCCCCGGACTCCTACAGCGGTAAGCGTCAGCGGGGCGGCCGGGCCCTGACGTCCTGTGCGAGGCCCGGCTGGCGGGCTGGGGTGGTCCCGGACGCCGTTCCCCCCGCTGGAAGGCCCTGACAGAGCGGCTGAGAGCTGCCGGGCTAGGGAGGGGTCTGCTCTCTGCCCAGCCCTGGGGTGCGGCCCCCTCCCCCCCATACACAGCATCGCCCTCACCCTGCACGGGGAAGCCCTCCGGGAGGCCAGCCAGGCCAGCCTGTGTGTTCCTTCCTGAGGGGAGGTGGGGTCTGACCTCCTCACTTGCTCGGCGGCTGGGTAACCGAGCCTGCCTGGCAGAAGTACGTGCGTGTTCAGCGTCAGCCGAGTGCCTGGGGCCTTTCTCGGCACTGGGGGAGGAACGGGGAATGTAGAGGAGAGAGGTCAACAGTGGACTACATGTGAAAGGAAAGGGGTCAGAGGAAGTGGGGAGGAGGGGGTATAGGAGCACTGGTAGTTTTAATGGGGGGGGTTTGAGATTGACATTTGAGCAGAGCTAGGCAGGAGCAAAAGCAGATAAGTACTTGAGTGAGGCATGTGCAAAGGCCCTGGGGCAGGATAATGGTGGTGTGCTGAGTGAGGGGAAGGCGGGGGAGGGAGAGCTGGGGGGGGGGGCGTCAGGGAGGTGACAGGGCAAGTCCTGCAGAGTCTTGGGGGAGGACTTTGGGCCTTAACCCTGCAACACTAGGAGAGCCCTGGACGGCTCTGGGCTGCTGGCAGAGCGGGAGCCTTCTGGACGCAGTGCTCGCGATGCCCTCCGGTGGCAGCGGGGAGAACAAACTGTGCCTTGCGTGGGACCTGGAAGAGGGTGGGGCGTGGCAAGTTCGGGGTTTTCGGAAGGCAGAGGCCACAGGGTTCGTGGGTGCAGAGGTGGTGGGATTGGGGTCTGGGGGGGGGTCCAGGCATTCTCAGCAGTTGGTGGAGTTCAGAGCTTGGTGGGGGGAGCAGACTGTACCATAGGCTCCTGAGACGAGGACCCCAAGCTGCACGCCATGGGGTCGGGGTCGTGGCCGAAAGTCGTGGGTGTGAACTTTACAGGGAAAAGACGGAGGAGGTGACAGCGCCTTGAACATGGCGGGGAGGGGGTGACCCGAGGAGAGAGGCCTGTGGCCAGTGGACGCTGCTCCCCATTGTGGCACGAGGTCTTCTGGGAGGGTGGACCAGACCCCCCCCCCCATGCGAGGTGCTGACGCTGGCTCCGCTGCAGTGGGGAAACCGAGGCCCAGACAGGGCACAGAGCACATGCCCCTCTGGGGAAAATGCCACATCACCCTCATGGTGACACTGTGTGTACGATGACGGCGCTGCCTGGGGTCCTGAGCCCCCAAGGACAGGCCCGCAGCCCACTCCAGGGCAGGTCCCCTCTTTCTTTCTTTTTTTTTTTTTTTATTTTTTTATTTTTTTATTTTTTTATTTTTTTTTTAAATGTTTTATTTATTTCTAGGAGACAGAGAGAGAGACAGGCTCCAGGCTCCGAGCTGGCAGTCAGCACAGAGCCCGACGCGGGGCTCGAACCCATGAACCGTGAGATCATGACCTAAGCAAAAGTCGGATGCTTAACCGACTAAGCCACCCAGGCGCCCCGTCTTTTTTTTTTTTTTTTTTAAATGTTTATTCATTTTTGAGAGAGTGTGAGAGGGTGGGGGGCAGACAGAGAAGGAGACCCAGAATCCAAAGCAGCTCCAGGCTCCGAGCTGTCAGCACAGAGCCCGACGCGGGGCTCGAACCCACGAACCGTGAGATCATGACCTGAGCCGAAGTCGGATTCTTAACTGCCTGAGCCCCACAGGCGCCCCTCAAGCCTGTATTTCGTTACATGGTTCTGGGCTTCATGAAATTGGCATCCTGTTGGCATGTTGTGCACTGGGTCCGAGGGCCACCCGGCTGCGGGCGCTGGTACAGGACGGGACACCGGCTTGCACGCTGCCGTTGCGCCGGGCGCTCTGTGCAGCGTAACGCGTCTCCTGGCGCACAGGTGTTTCTCGAGTGTGACTCCAGGTTGTGGGGTTCGGGGCTGTGTGTCTCCTTCCAGTAACCGCAGATTGTTGCCCAAACTGGCCTTGCCACCTTCCCTCCCGCAGTCGGTCGTCAGGTGGTTAGGCCCCGCCGGCCCCGCCAGCCTAGTGGCTCACTGGATCCGCACGTGCATTTCCCCAGTGGCCTGGTGCAGGTCATCATGGCCACGGCCACGCGTACCGCCTGCCCGCTCGGGAACGTCCCGTTTCCCTGTTGAGCGGCTGGTCCTTGTCTCGTTCTGTAGGTGCTCTTTACATGTCACGGAGACCAGCTCTTCGTCGACTTATATGCGACAAGTATCGCTGGTGGCATCTGTGTTCTTGTTTTCTGGGTCGTATGCTGGTCATCAGAAATTCTCAGTTTGGATACAGTCGAGTTTACTTACTTCTTTTTTTTTTTTTCGAGAAAGGCCCTTTTAGTATTTCAGGAAATAGTTTCCCCACCTCTGAGTCACCGCAGAATCGCCATGTGCTTTCTTTTAAAGGTGGTCAAGTGCACCCCCCCGCCCCCGACCCCGACCTTGGTCTCTGCAGCTGAGGACCGTGGCCTGAGGGAGGGACCCGGTTCTACTGTTACTGCTGTTTCATTGGGTTTTGTTCTTGCAAACGAAGGCCTGGCTCTCCCAGGAGAGCTCAGTACCCGTCCCGCGAGCGGGGGCTGCCAGCGGCCCTGGAGGCGCCCCAGACCCTAACCCCAGGCCTGTCGTAGGGCTCGGCCGCGCCGGCGGCGTCTCGGGTGCCGGCGAGATCAAACGCGAGGAGAAGGAAGACGAGGAGAGCGCCTCCGTGGCCGACGCCTCGGAGGAGGAGAAGAAGGAGCCGAAGCCGCCCCGGCCCCGGACCAGGTGCCCGCCCCCCCCGCCCCCGCCCCGCCCCGCAGGACGCATGCACACACACGCACACGGCGCCCACACCGCGAGGCCGTCGGCGGGCCCCCGCCCGCGCCCCCGCCTCACTGTCTCCCTCTGGCCCCCCCCGGGCCCCCCCCCCCATAGCCCGGACGAGGACGAGGACGACCTTCTCCCCCCAGAGCAGAAGGCTGAGCGGGAGAAGGAGCGCCGGGTGGCCAATAACGCGCGGGAGCGGCTGCGGGTCCGAGACATCAATGAGGCTTTTAAGGAGCTGGGGCGCATGTGCCAGCTGCACCTCAGCAGCGAGAAGCCCCAGACCAAACTGCTCATCCTGCACCAGGCCGTGTCGGTCATCCTGAACCTGGAGCAGCAGGTGCGAGGTCAGTGGGGGCGCCGCTCCCTCCCCCGCCGCTGCTGCCCCCGCTCGCCCCCCGCCTCCTGGAGCCGGCCTCCCCCGCTGTGACTGTCCCTCTCCTGCAGCGACCGCCCTCCTTGCTGTGACCTCCCCCTGCAGCGACCGCCCTCCTTGCTGTGACCCCCCCCACACGCCAGTCGCCCTCCCCTCTTCCGAGCAGTGGGCCACCTAGCCTGGCTCCGGGGTCCTCTCTGGCACGAGGACCCCTTCGGACCCCCAGCCCCGCAGACCTGCACAGCAGCTCTGACTCGTCTCCCTGCACCCCAGGGACTCCCCCTCCCCCCCCCAGCCCGGCCCTGCCCTCTCGGGAAGCCGGTAGCTCTCTGGCTGAGGCCCCCGGGCCCCTGGGCCAAAGGTCACTGCCGCTCAGAACAGAGACGCTGTGGGGCCGCGTCAGCCCGTCACACCCCGTCTACAGGTGGGGTTCCCCGCACCCCTGATTCCCAGGGCTGGGCACGGATCCAGAATGCCCCCCCCCCCGAATGCCCCCCACACTTGGCTCCCGGCTCAGCTGCTTCCTTAACGCCTCCCGCTCCCGTGCGCCCGCTAACCCTTTCTTTCCCGCAGTGCTGTTGCTTGGACCGGAGCTGGGGCCTTCGCCCGCCCGGCCCGCTGTCCCCTCAGCTCCGCGGTTCCCATGTTTCCGTGGTGGCGTGGGCGCCCCGCCGTGCCCCCTGCGCCCGCTCCCCGCGCTCTGCCTCTTGCGCTCCCCCCCAGTCTCCCCCACCCTCTGCTTCCACGGCAGCCCCTCCCTACCTCGCACTTGCTGCCCAAGCCCGGATGGCAGGGCTGCGACCTTGGGGTCTTTCCTCCCCCCAAAGCCCCCAAGTCGGGACTTGAGGGAAGAAAGGACCGAGGGGCGCCGGCCTCAGGCCCGTCAGTTTGGTCTGCGCGCTTGTCCTGGGCTCCGGGGGCCGCCGCCGCCGCCACCTGGCAGGGTCCGCTCGGGCCCAAGGGCGGGGGGGCAGCAGCCCCCCCACAGGAGCAGGGCAGGGCACCAAGGGGCCGCGCACACGCAGGCCCCCCCCCCCCCCCCCCGGCCGTAGGGCTTGGGCCAGGCCGGCCACGGCGGGGGCTCGGGAGCTCAGAGCCCCTGCTCCGTCGGGGGCCCTTCGCCCAGCGGTGACAGCAGGAGGCCCGGGGAGCCCACCCTCCCAGCCCGAGGCCGGGGCCTGTGGCCGTGCCGCAGCCAGCTCCTGGGGTGTCCAGAGTTCAGCGTGGGCAGGGAGTGGGGGTCAGGCCTCTGCCTGCCGAGCCAGAGCCTTCTCTGCCTCTTGCGCCCACGCTGGTCAGGTCCGATCAAGCCTGGCGCGGCCCCAACACAGCGCGCGGCTGCTCTGACCACAGCCCGGCACTGGGCTGCCTCCCTGCCTGCCTGGCCAGTCCTTGGGCCCGGGGAGCAGGCAGGGGGCAAGGGATGCCCTCCAGCTCCCCACAGACCCCCCGATGGGGGGCCCTGGTCCCTACCTCCACCCCCTGGGGACAGTCCCACATCGGTCTCCTCTGCGGGGAACCACACACACAGCCTTGCCCACGGTGGAGCCCACGGGGGGCGGGGCAGAGACAGGCACATCCCAGGGTCTCTGCTGCAGCCGCGTGTGCCCTGTGCCCACAGATGAGCACGGCTCGTGGGCATGAGCACGCAGGAGCACACACGAGCTCGCACATGCACGCACGCACGCACGCACACGCAGTCAGCAGGCCCCACTCGCCTGCACGCGCCGCCCGTGACTAACAGAGGCCCCGGTGCTGTGACCCAGCAGTACGGAGGAGGTGCTGTCCCTGGAGGAGAAAGACCTGAGGGACCGGGAGAGGCGCATGGCCAATAACGCGCGGGAGCGGGTGCGCGTGCGCGACATTAACGAGGCCTTCCGGGAGCTGGGGCGCATGTGCCAGATGCACCTCAAGTCGGACAAGGCGCAGACCAAGCTGCTCATCCTGCAGCAGGCCGTGCAGGTCATCCTGGGCCTGGAGCAGCAGGTGCGAGGTAGGCTCCCTGGCCAGGTGACCCCGTCCCTCTGCCCCCAACCCCCCGCGCCGGCCGCCCTGCCCCCCCCCCCCCCGCCCCGTGCCAGGCGCTCCGGGGAAGGGGTGATCAGCTCCCCTCTCCTGCCCCCCCCAGGGATCCTCTCCCACGTTGCTCTCCCCTCCCCCCAGAGCGTAACCTGAACCCCAAAGCGGCTTGCTTGAAGCGAAGAGAAGAGGAGAAGGTGTCGGGTGTGGTCGGAGACCCCCAGATGGTGCTGGCGGCTGCCCCCCAGGGCCTGAGCGAGCCCCGCAACCCCGCAGGGCACATGTGAAAGGTGCGCGCGCGGACGAGCACCCGGCCCGCGCCCCGCACGCCGGTGGTCGGCCTTGAGCGGGCACAGCCCCCGGTGGGGGGGGGCGGGGGGCGGCGGGGGGGGCCCTCCCTGGCCTTGAGCACCCCCTCCCTCGGGGTCTCACCGCCTTGACGTCTGGGGGACTTTCCTGGCGGGTTGGAAACTGCAGCTCAGGACCCCAGGACCAGCCCAAAGGGGCAGTTTTGTTTTTCATTTGTAAACAAAACCAGGAAGCAAGCAAGATTCGTACTTTGTCAGAAGAGACAAAAAAATGCCTTAAGTATAGAACGCGGGGGAGTCCAGACCTGCCGCCCGGCGGCCGCGGAGGCTGCACCCCCAGCGGCTCTGGACGAGCCGGCGACCGTGCCTACACCTGACCCTTGTCTTAAGGAAAATAAAGGACGTTAGTTAGGAGATTTTTTTTTTAATGTATTAGAAAATTAGCAACAAGGATGCCTTTGATCTTTTTTTTAAGCTTTTTTGCATATGTTTTGTAAGCAACAAATTTTTTGTATAAAAGTCTCTTGTCTCTTGCTATTTCTGCTGCTGATTCTAGAACTGAGCGTTGCATTTCACGATCAACAGATTATTAAAAGTTGTACTGAAAAGACCACTGTAAACCTGAGGTTCCCCCTCCCCCCCCCCCAATCCCAGGGGCTTCCAGAGGGCACTGTGGCCCCCACGGTCTCCTAGCTGGGATTTAGAGGCTGGGTAGTTCCCTGGGTTTGGCTAGGCTGTGAATGGTGGGTGGGGCTCTCCCCTCCCTCAGGAAGGGGGGAATGACACCCGGCCTCCTGGTGGGTGTCTGCAGGGAGGCAGCCATCCTCCCACGAGGAACTGCCAAGGAGGCCCTTCTGGAAGCAGCTTGGACTCCAGGTTCCCCCCCCCCACCCTCCAGCAGGCCTCCCCGACTTTTACTCTGTGGGGACCAGCGTCCTGGGCACAGGGACCTTAGCGCTGAGCTCGCTGCTGCAGGGCCTCCCGGACCCCGTGCTCGGTTCCCTCACGCTGGAGACCTGGCCCGCGCTCTGAGCTCTGCCGGGGGCGCTGCGCAGCACCCAGGGCTGGCACGGAAGCCCCCGCCCCCTGCTGACGGGCCTCAGACCCCGAAAAGCACTCCAGCTTTGCACCTGCTCACTTGTAAGACCCGGAGGGTGCCCCCCGTCGGCCCGCGGTGGCCAAGTCCCAGGCCCAGGTCTCCCTGAGCCCCCACCCCCGTCTCTGGTGTCACCCGGCAGACCAGCTCGCCCAGGACCGTCCCAGGCTTAGAGTGAAAGTCCTTGTCCTCGGAGCCCCTGCAAGACCACCGGCCCCTCGGTGTGTGCTCTGCGCAGGCCCGGCCCACCCAGCTCCTCCCGCACCACACCCACACAGGCCCCCAGGGTGACTCCCTCCCGTAGCATTGGGACCCCCGAGGCCAGGGAGCTGGGCGCCCGCCAGGCAGGGCTGCATCCGGAGCCCTGAGATCAGCCGGGTCTCCCCCCTTTTCCACCAGGTCAGGGGTCAGTGAGGAGCCGTGGACTCTCGGACTCTGCTGAGTCCCTGGCCTGTGTGGGTCTCTCGTGTCTTTTGGGGAACCTGCCTCAGAGTTCCCCTCCTACTCTGCTTCTGGTTTCACAGGTGGGGCCAAGAGCCCCCCCCCCCACTACTGGACTTTGTACTACGTGCAGTAGCCTTGGCGGAGGGGCGCCCACGGTCCTCAGGGAGTGTGCTCAGTGCCTCGAGGTAACTGGTTTTCAAAAAAAAATTTTAAGAAAAGTAATTTTTTTAATGTTTATTTCTGAGAGACAGAGAGGTAGCATGAGCAGAAGAGGGTCAGAGAGAGAGAGAGAGACACACACATACAGAATAGATAGTAGGCTCCAGGCTCTGAGCTGTCAGCACAGATCCCAACGTGGGGCTCGAACCCACAAACCGTGAGATCATGACTTGAGCCAAAGTCGGACACTTAGCCGCCTGAGCCACCCAGGCGCCCCTAAGAAAAGTAATTTTATGCAAGTGTCAACACAGCTGGCTGCGTTCTTTGGGGTTTTTTTTTAAACGATCGTCCCACGTAAAGGCGCTGTAGCAATAAATGACAGCTGAGGACAGTCCTGGCTGCCCGAGGCCCGCTCAGCTGCTGCGCTTACGGACCAGCAGGGGAGGGTCCCAGTGGCTGAGGCCGTCCCATGGCTGGGGGCCCGGGCGGAGGCTGTGGCCCTGGGTGTGCGAGCCTCTGGGGGCAGCTGTGACAGATTCCCAGGCACACGGATGTGACCTAAAGCCACAGGAATTTATTCTCTCTGGTTCTGGAAGCCGAAGCCCCAGGACATGGTGCTGCGGGGCCGTCTGCCCTCTGCCTCGTTCGGCCTCTGGGGACAGCCCTCGGCTTGTGGCTGCCCCGCTCCGTCTTCTGGTGGCCTAGCTCCACATGTGCTGCATCCAAATTCCCCTTTGTAAGGAAAGCCCCAGAGTGATGGGAAAGGTGCTCAGGATGATGCCTCGTTTGAGAACCAAAGCGCAGGTTGCGCGGGGAGCCTGCACCAGTGTCGAGGGCTCCTGGGGCTCTGGGCATGGGACCGGCTCACGGGCCAAAGCCACTCCCTGATATGCCACCTATTCTGTTTTAAAACAATGTAATACACCAAAGCCACTAGATTATGACATTGTATAAGTTGGATGGTGTGAGTTGTACCAAAAAGGGGGTGCCTGGGGAGCTCAGTCGGTTGAGCATCAGACTTTGTCTCAGGTCATGATACCATCTGTGAGTTCAGCCCCACGTCAGGCTCTGTGGTGACACCTCGGAGCCTGGAGCTGCTTTGGATTCGGCGTCTCCCTCTCTCTGCCCTTCCCCTGCTTGCGCTCCATGTCTGTCTCTGTCTCTCAAAAATAAACATTACAAAAAGATCGTAAAGGTGCTGCAGTGTTCAGTGAGGCATCACCTCGCTCGCTATCCCAGGATCAGCTCTGTGGACAGTTCGGGACGAGCATCTCCTCGGCCCACTGGAGGGAACTGCAGAGGCACGGAGCGGGCGCAGGAGACTCGGTGCCACGGATGTGCCCGAAGCTTAGCAGTGCAGGTCACTGTGTACTGGTCGCTCGCCTTCGATTCCCCCCAGGCAGCCCTGGGCCCTTCTGGCTCTCAGGCGGCGGTACCAGGGCTGGGCCTGACAAGAACCATGCCCCCATCCCGCCCAGGGCAGAAGAGCACGTGCCAGACTCCCCACTGGCTGTCCTTGGAGCCAGACAAGCGCGCGCGCACACACACACACACACACACCCGGCACCACAGCGTGGCACAGTGTGCGGCTCTAAGTGTGCCCACGTCCAATCCCCAGAACCTGAGATGGGGGCCTTGTCTGGAAAAAGGGCTTTTGCAGATGTAATGAAGGATCCTGGGATGCACTCTCTCAGGACAGGATGGGCCTCCAACCAATGACCAGCATCCCCATAAAAGAGAAACCATGAGGGACACCTGAGTGGCTCCGTCAGTTAAACGTCTGGCTTCAGCTCAGGTCATGATCTCAGGGCTGGTGGGTTCGAGCCCCACGTCAGGCTCTGTTGCTGACAACTCAGAGCCTGAAGCCTGTTTTGGATTCTGTGTCTCCTTCTCTCTCTGCCTCTCCTCCACTCATGCTCTGTCTCTGTCAAAATATTAAAAATTAAAAAAAAAAAAAAAAGCCACGAGCCAGGGGCGCCTGCACCCCCCAGGGCTGTAAGAGGCAGAGGGAGACAGCCCCGCGACACCGCCACGGAAACCCTGTCGTCTCGAGCTACCCAGTGTGACCACAGCAAAATCGTAGGTGTCCGCTTTCAAGCGGCCGAACACCCAAATCCAGCAGGGGCTCACGCGTCGCGGGCAGGAGCGTCCACAGGGCGGCTGCTTCAGCGAGATCTGGCCGTTGTGCCCCTGGCGCTACGGTCATGTTCTAGGTCAGGGCCTCCCCTGGGAGCCCCAGATGTCCACGCAGAGGCCCGTGAGCGTCCATCGGCCACATCCGCAACTGCCCCAACCTGGGAACAACCCAGGTGCCCCGGTAAACAGGTCCGCCCCTCCGCGGAACAGGGCTCGGGTAGGAGCGCGCCGGTGACGGACCCGGCGAGCCGGAGGGCTCAGAAGTCACCGTGCCGCACGGGAGAAGCCGGGCGCCGCGGAGAACACACTGCATGGAAAAGTCTAGAAAATGCAGATGAACTGACAGAAGGGTGGGGCTGGGAGAGAGAGGGGGTGGGCACCTTGACCGCCACAGTGCTTCATGCGCACACAGACCCAATACCACGTTGTACGTGTTCAGGACGTGCATTCTTATATGTCAAGTATCCATCAATACGCTGTGAGATTTTAAATGAAAACATCCACCAAGAGGGCAACGGATAAACACGGCGCTCACCGCGCACGCCCACAGATGACCGTGTCCATCGCGCACGCGCACGCCCCTGAGGTGCGTCCACCGCGCACGCGCACGTCCCTCAGGTGTGTCCACCGCGCACGCGCACGCCCCTCGGCCGCCAGCGGGAGCGAGGCGCTCACACCCGCCGCCCCGCGGACGGAGCCGAACACACGACGCTCAGGGAGGGAATCAGACACCGGAGGCCGCGCGGGTGTGAGTCCACGTGCGTGACGCGTCCGGAACAGGCTCCTCCACGGGCGGGAGGGGGCTGGGGGAGGGGTGGGGGTGACGGCTGATGGGGACGGGATGGAGCGACTTCTGGACGTGACGAAGTTTTTCTGCAACCAGAGGGGGCGGTTGCACAACTTTCCGAACGCACTGAGTGCCGCTCAAATCATTCGCTTTAAAATGTGACCTAAGGTCACAGCAATAAAAACGAGAAAAGGAGTTCAGTTTCCCCCAAGGGCCACGCAGGACTGCGACGCGGAGGCCCGCCAGCCCTTCGGCCACCGGAAGCCTGGCTGTTCCCTTCCGGGGGCTCCCCTCCCCCGGCTCAGCCCCTGTCCTCGGAGGAGTGTCCGCCTCCGCCGCGAGAACAGTCTCGGAACGTTTCCTGCAGTTACTGAGGAAGCGGAGCCGTCCTCCTCCGGCGGCGGGAACGTTAGCCCGGTTTCCACTGCGCCTGCTCAGGGAGGGCCCACCAGACAGCGGGGACAGCGGAGGAAAGGGCTGAGGCCTGGGGAAGAGATTCTGACGGTGTTGCCTCGTCCTGGGTCTCGCCATGCCTGAAGCCATGCAACATGCCGTAAAACTTCCTTTTCTCTTAAACTGGTTTCTATCACTTGAAAGAAAGACTGCTGCCTTGCGAGCTAAGTACATTAAGCAGAAGCAGCCATGAGCCAAGGCTTCAGGAACTGCTGGATCCAGGACCTGCAGCCCTCTGGCTTCCGTGCCCGTCTCTACTCACTTCTTCAGCAGCGTTACGGTCCCTCTCTCTCTACAACCTTCGTGACGGCCTCTGCATCCGGTGTGAGTTCCCACCTACAGACGACTCCCCTGCGATCCCAGGCTCAAGACCCCAGAGCAACTGTAGGGACGAGAAACAACGTGCAGTCCAGGGACGATGCGCACCTCCGGAGCCCCGACCGTGGTCCCTACACGTCACTGCCGGACCCACCCACAGTCCGCGGCCAGGGCCAGGCCTCCCGCATGCGGGGCCGGGGCCGCAGAGGCAGTGGCCGGCCGGGCGGGCCCGGGGGACCCACCGGCCCTGGCGCGCCGTCCGCGCACAGAACGGACGCTGCGGCTCCAGGAACCGAGCCGCCTTCCGCCGCCAGGGCGAGGTCGACGTGCGAGAAGCCGCTCCCCTGGCCTCCGAGCCACAGGCAGCTCCGGTGCGCGCACTGACGCTGCGGAGGCGCGGCCATGTGGCCTCCTTCCCGCCCACCGCTCCAGGGCTGACTTCAAGCGGCACCCCCCCCGCCCCGCCGTACGACCCCGGGCAAGTCCCCTTCCCCGCAGGGCCCGTCTCCTTAATTGCGAATGAAGTTCTGGCAGGCAGCAGAGACACAGAATCGCCGACCAGAAGTCACCAGAGGCGGCGCCGCTGGGGGCCACTCGGACCGCCGGCGCAGACCGCATCCTCCTCCCGGCTCTGCCGCGTCTGTAACCACTCCTGACGCCCCCCGGAAGTGCCTGCAAATGTCTTCCGGGTCCGCGCGCGCAGCAACCGCGGGCGCCTGGCGTGGCGCGGTCGGTTCGCCCGGGGTGGAGCCTTCCTGTACGCCTGCGCGCGGCGGCGACCGCGCTTGCGCAGACGGCCGGGCGGCAGCCGGGGTCACCCTGAGCCGCGGACGGCGTCGCGATGCTGAGCAGGTTCCTGGGCCCGCGCTACCGCGAGCTGGCCAGAAACTGGTGAGCATGTGCCCCGGGCCCCGCCGCCTCCAACCGGGACGCCTTCTGAAGCCGGGTCCCAACCGGACAGGCGCAGAGCGGCGAGCGGCGCCCCCTCACCTCCGCCTGGGCGCGCACGGCCGCCGGGCCTCTGTCCGTCACCCCCGGCTCGGGCCCCCGCGGCACCCCGGGGAGACGGCAGGCGATGCACACTCCCTAGGGGGAAGGCTCCTGGGACACCGCTGAGCCTCGCGGCCGCGGGGCGGCGGCAGGAAAGGGTCCCTCTAGGCCCAGAGCCTGTCCCCACATCAGCAGTGACCCGTGAGCCCGCCGGGGCGCCAGGTGGGGGGTCGTGGGCCGCGCTCGGGGCCTCACTGGGGGGGGGGGCGGGGGTTCATCCTCTGTGGAGGCGGAGGCACCCTCACCCTCCGCCGCCCCGGGCACGAGGCTGACCACGGCCGGGCCAGGTGTGGGCGGACCTGGGATAGTCCCCGTGCTGCGTAGCTAGTGTCTCCGCGAAGCGGGCAACGTAGAACGACCGGCATGTATCACGCCCCCGTCTGCGTGGGTCCGGGATGCGGGCACACCTGGGCTGGGGCCGCCACACAGTCTCCAGAGGCTGCAGTCCCAGCCAAAGACTCTGCTGGGGCGGGGGGGGGGGGGGCTCTTCCCGAGCTCGAATGTGTGATTGCTGGCGGGACGCCTTCAGTTCTGTGCCACGTGGGCTCCTCTGCAGGGCGGCTCGGGTGGCCGCTGGCTTCCCCCAAAGAGAACAGGAGTAAGCCGGGGAGCTTGTGCTCATACGGTCCCCCCTGCGCACTTCGTTCATTACACACCGGACGCTGGGTCCTGCCCACGCTCCGAGGGATGAGTACAGCAGGCACGAACGCCAGGGGGACTGTGGAAGCCACTGTGGACTCTCCCCAATCACAGGACAGAGTGAGAAGCGGCCATGGTGGGTCAGAGCTAGACTCAGCGCGGTGCCCTGGATCTGCACCATGTGGCTGTGTGTCCTTGGGGTGGTGACCCGCTCTTCCTGTGCTGTGTGCTCCCCATCTGTAAGGGACCAAGACCCTGATACTCCCTTTAGTCCCATGGCTGTCGTGGGTCAACTGTAAACCTCAGAGCTGGTGGCTGCACACAGACATTAGCTATTGTTACAGGAGGTTATGAGCTTGGGGTTTACATTTTTTTAAGCAAATTCCCCAAAAAACCTTAAGGCGATCCCAGTGTGAAAGCAGATGGCAGTGAAGTCCCCCCCCCCCCACGACTTCTGCTTTGTGCCCGCCCCGCGGAGCTGTGGAGGGATGAGTCCACGCACAGCAGGGGCTGGGGGTGTGGCGGGCATTCACTGGAAGCTGAGGATGGGGGAGAGACCACAAAACACAGCTGGGAGGGAGATCCCTGACCCCTGCTGTCCTCCGGCAGGCTTCCCACGGCAGGCATGTGGGGCGCCGTGGGCACCGTGGGGCTGGTGTGGGCCACCGACTGGCGGCTAATTCTGGACTGGGTGCCCTATATCAACGGCAAGTTCAAGAAAGATGATTAAACCGACCCTCGTTGGATCCCTGGGGTGAGTTTTGGCAGCCGTCAGCAGGGCAGCCCTGTGATGCCCGCACTTGTCTGTGCCCCCAGAGCGAGGGGGCCAGGCCTGGGAGGCTCACCTGCACCCTTAGCCCTGGAGAAACCTGCCTGAGAGGTGAGTTCTGGGGTGGGCTCTCCACGCGCCTCCTGCCCGTCAGCACCCCTGGCCGTGGGACTGGGGATGGGCAGTGCCCCGTGTGCCCTCCCCCCGCAGGCTGCCGGTGCCTCCCACACCTCGCCTGCCGCCCTGGCCCGCCCAGCGCTGGTGTGACGGGCCGGTGCTGCGCGTCCCAGACGGGACAAGCAGGAGCTGCCCTGCAGCTGCGGCCTCCCTCGAGCTGCTGGGACTTTTCCGTTGGCCTGTCACCTGTCCCCACGTGGCCTGCCGGTGCCCACAGACAGTCTGGAGCGCCTCCTACGTCCTGTCCTGCAGCCGGGCCGGGCCGCAGCTCCGCGGCGTCACCAGATTTGATTTTGGGGCCCGGCTGTCCCCCTCACCATGCCGTGCCTCCTCTCTTGCAGGAGCCGGGAGCTCACCCTGCCCTGCTCCCCGGCAGGCGTCTGTCGGCGCGGCCCCCGTCCCTGTCCGCTCGCGCGCTTCCTGGAGCCGCCCAGGGCCTCAGGATGGACCTCGGGAGACCCGCAGCGTGACTTAGGACTCCGCCTTTCCGGGAGTAGCTTTCGTGTTTGAATGCACACAGCATTAAACCGTGCTCTGAAACCCGCCCCACCTGGACGTGCTCATGCTAGTGACTTGGTAACCTTCACTGCAGCCCTGGTGGCCCGAGTCACCCCGGGGGTCCTTCCAGTGCCGAAATTTTGCAAATCTAGGAATTTCTCCATGGCTAGCAGAAACTGATCACTTGCGATGATTAACGGGTAATCCTTGTACGGCGTACCTCCCGCCGCTTTGAGAAATTTCCCCACCACTTGGTGTAAAATGCAGCCGTCTCTTACCTCCCGGTTTCTGTGGGTGAGAGGTTAGGAGTAAGTTGGCCGGGTGGTCCTGGCCCCAGACCGCTCAGGAGGATGCGGTTAAGGTGTCCAAAGGCTGGACCCAGGGGGCTGGGTCCCCTCTTGCTGCCACCCTCCATCTCTGCGGGTGGGCGCCGCAGGTCTTTCCTCAGAACTCTGGCACCACCTTGTCCGCATCTGTCAGAGCACGTGCCCAGCTCTGACCTTGCAGACGTCTTAACCCATCACAGGAAGGGCACAAAAATGAGCAGGTATGCAAGGACCTGGGGCACCCAGCTCTCTCCCTCCTGCCGCTTCCCGGTTCTTGAAAATTCTAGAAACAGGGTGCCCACACACACGTATTTGTGAACGCAGCTGTTGTGTTAGTCTTCCGTAACGAAACACCCAACTGGGTGCCTCAGACCACAGGATGAACGTCCTCCGTTCTGGGGGCTGGAAGTTGAGATCAAGGGTCTTGGTGGGCTTTGTTTCTAGTAAGTTCCTGCTTCCCGAGTTGCAGGCAGCGGCCAGTGCACCTGCGCAGGGAAGGAGGGACAGCAAGTCTCTTAGAACACAAATTCTAGCTGGACAGGGCCCCACCCTCTGGCCTCTCTCTGCGGCGGCGCATCCTCAGGGCCCGTCCCCGCCTCGGCACCGGGGACCGGCCGGGCTGCAGCTCTACTGCGGCGGTGGAGGGCTCGGGCACCTGCTCTGCACACACACCAGCGCGGGCATTGGTGGGACCCCTTCCTGCACGTCCGTTTTCACCCACGGCACGTGTCCTGGGGCCATGCCGCTGCAGACTGAAACGGCAGCCCGGTACCGACTGGTCCGTTAATCGGTCCTGTCGTTTGCTATGATGACGACAGTTGCGTAGCGGTGTCACTCAAATACTTTTAATGAACAGCTGAGATAAATGAGTTAAGTTTTTTTGCTTTTGCTTCTTTAACAATTCCCAACTCACACAGGGACTGGACGGTCCCAGCGCCAGGGCTGTGCTGAATCGTAGCATGGCCTGAGGCAGAAGGAAGCTTGTGCCCCTGTTCCCATAATTTAATGTGGCTTTGTAATCTTTAATGATTTTAATGAAAATATAGCTGAGTTTGCTTCCACGAAAGCCAAAAAAGCAAAATTCTAAAGGTTCTTCTATAAATACAATATTTAAACAAACCACTGTGAGTTTTAATACAACTTTTCAGGAGCCCCTGGATGGCTCAGTGGGTTGAGCGTCTGACTTTGGCTCAGGTTCATGAATTACAGCCCCACGTCACACTCTCTGCTGCCAGCGATCCTCTGTCTGTCTCCCTCCCTCCCTGCCCCTCCCCTGCTTGCATGTGCTTGCTCGTTCTCAAAAATAATACATATATTTTTTAAAATACAACTTTTTTTTTTTTAATGTTTTTATTTATTTCTAGGAGAGAGAGAGAGACAGCGTGAGCAGGGGAGGGTCAGAGAGAGAGGGAGTCACAGATTCTGAAACAGGTTCCAGGCTCTGAGCTGGCAGTCAGCATAGAGCCCGACTCGTGGCTCGAACTCACTAACCTTTAGATCATGACCTAAGCGAAAGTCGGACGCTTAACCGACTAAGCCACCCAGGCGCCCCAAAATACAACTTTTTTTTTTAAAACAATCTATTTTGACTTAGAGAGCAAGCAGGGAGGGGCAGAGAGAGAAAATCCCAAGCTGGCCCCTCCCCATCACCGCAGAGCCCTATGCGGGGCTCACGCTCACAAACTGCAAGCTCATGACCTGAGCTGGAACCAGGAACTGCCAGGTGCCCACAGCTTTTCAGTATGTTGATGCTGCTCCAGCCACTGGGCGGGGGGGAGTTTAACCATTAAAAACAACGTAAAAACATGTATAAAGGCTCACAACTCTTTCCTTTCGTCTTGGGTTCCAAAATGACTCAGCACGCCATTGAATCCTTTATTTCAAAATTGGGCTTTTGAAAGAATAAATAAATAACAAAAATCTGACATCTTGGAGGCGCCTGGCTGGCGCAGCTGGTAGAGCTCATGACTCTGGATCTCAGGGTCTTGAGTCTGAGCCCCACGTGGGGGTAGGAATCACTTAAAAGTAAAATTGACATTTTGTTTATCGTGGATTTTGCGTTCACTTGAAGCTGTTACAATCCTGCACTGAAGGCCCGGGCTCCAGACGCTTGAGGCCTGTGGCGCTCGTGCCGTGCCCACTGGGCACCAGGCTCCCTCCCTCCCCGCAGCCAGCCCAGGACTGCAGGTCAGGGACATCTGGGGCCTCAAGACCAGAGTCCTGGCATCCATTGAGTGGTGTGACAGAAGCTGTTCAGCCCTCCGTGGTGACAGGGCGGCCCCCCGGTCGCCCAGCCCAGTGTCCACAGCACTGAGGGGGGACCCGGCACTGACCGTCGCTAAAGGCTCCTCACAGGTCACCTGGTCCTGTTGGTTTCTTACCTTGTGTAGACGGGAGGGGGGCGTCTGCTTGGGGCTCATTTGCAAAGAGCAAGTTTCCAGCAAGGGGTGGGGGGAGGCGTGCACAACTGCCCCATCCCCCTTCCCAGGGCTCCCAGCCTCTCATCTCTGCTCCGTGGCTGCTCAGACAGGCCCTGGACCAGCCCCTCAAGACGGTCCCAGGGGCTTGGGCCCCATGATGCTCCAGGCACCCTGTCCCTGCTCTGGAGGCAGCCTGGGCCTGAAGCTGTCAGATTCCCTGAGAAGCAAGCAAGGGCGGGCAGGCTCGATGCCCCGAGGAGAAGGGGGGGGGAGGGCTACCTAGGGAGCAATTTTGACTGTGTTTCTGGACTGTGATGTTGGCTTTTTTGTTTTGTTTTTTAAGTAGCCTCCACACCCAGTGTAGGGCTTGAACTCCCAACCCTGAGATCTAGAGTCATAAGCCCCACCGACTGGGCCAGCCAATGCCCCTCGATGGTGGTTCTTAAAGTCAAATCTTACCACCCCACACTACACATCCATCAATGCTGTACTATCAAACCCCAGAAAATTAGGGTAGCAAGGACGTGGCAAAAACCGGCTGTACCCCTGGCAGACACTGAACCGGGGCAGGTGGTGTGGACACCAGCTTCACAGGTCTAGGACTTAACCCCAACTTATCATGTGACCCAGCAGCGCCACTGCTGGGTGCGCACCTCGAAACCAGCGCACAGAACCTGGAGCCGTCCTGGGGGCCCCTAACACAGCAACGTTCATACTTTATCTTTTATGTACCTTCACATGGGTTCACTGACTGCAATAACCACGCGGACCTTTGTAGCTACGGTTTCTAACTTAAATAAAATCGTGCAAGCTTAAAAAAGAGCCGCGGTAGCTTGGAGTATTGCCTTTCACAAAGGTCGGGGTCCGTAAGTCCTGGGTTCTGGCCTGAATTCTCCAGACAGGAGCCAGTACCCAAACCAGCTTTGCAGGGTGACCGCTCAGGGTGCCCGTCTGACCGCTCTGCCCGTTACCTGTGAGACCACAGATGGGGAGGAAACGTAAGAAACTGTGAGAAGCTGCACTTGGGGCGCCCGAGTGGCTCAGTCAGTCGAGCGTCCGACTTCGGCTCAGGTCATGATCTCACCATTCGTGAGTTCAAGCCCCGCATCGGGCTCTGTGCTGACAGCTCGGAGCCTGGAGCTGCTTCGGATTCTGTGCCTTTCTCTTCTCTGCTGCTCATCCTCTGCCTCTCTCTCTCTCTCTCTCCAAAGTACATAAATAAAAAGCTGCACTTAACCTCAAAACATTAAGTAAACGAGTTACTCCTTCCCTCCACGCGGTGGTCTGGGGCTGCTCGCCCGCCACCTACCTCCGACCCGAGCGTGATCACAGGGCTCCAGGGCGGTGAAGACACCGACCCTCCGCCGTCCCGGGCGGATCCCGCCCCCGCCCCGCTCCTCTCACGCAGGGGCGGGACGCCGGGACAGGCCCGTCGGGAGGCCCAGCCTTCTCCCGGCACCGGCCACAGCTCCGTCCGCTCGTCCACTCAACACCCGCCCGGCGCAGGAGGGGCTGAGCGGGGTCACCCACCGGGTCTCCCTGGCGGCCAAGGGGAGGGGGAGGGGTCAAAAGGGGAGAAGAGAGACTCCGCAGGCAGGCCGCGGACCCCAGGGACAGAGGCCGCCGAACTAACGTGGAGCCGGGAGACTGGGGCTGACTTCTCGGTTCGGAGACGTTGGAAAAGCGTTGGGGCGGATTTGGGGCGTGGAGGGCGGTGGTCACGGGCAGGGCCCGAAGGCTGGGAGGCCGGGGGGGCTGGGACGGGCGGGAGCCCGGCACGGGGCGGCTAGCCTGGGACTCGAGCGGGGACCTGGGGGCACGGCACGGGAGGCCGCAGCCAGGCGCGGGCGGCGCGCGGCCACCGGGCGGTCCCGCCGCGGGCCGCTGGCGGGGCCCAGGGCGCAGGCGCGGGGCGGGGCGGGCGGAGCGCGCGCCGCCGCCAGCCCCACCCCTGGTCGCGCGCTGATTGGGGCCGCCGCCGCGGGGCGGGGCCGGCGGCCGCGGGGAGGGCCCCGCGCGGCGCCTGCGCAGCACGGGGCCCCGCGCGGGCGGGTGGGCGGAGCGGGCCCCCCGAGCGGGGGCTGGCGAGCGCGGGGAGGGGGCCGAGAGGGCGGCAAAGCCGGCGCGTGCCCGGCTGGGGGCGGAGGGCGGGGGCCCGCGGGCCGGAACAGCCGCGGCAAGTGGCGGCGGCGGCGGCAGCGGAGGCAGCTGAGGCGGCGGCGGCGAGCGGGGGTCCGGGCGGCGGCGGCGGCGGCGGCGGCGGCGGCGGGCCGAGGAGCGGGCGCGATGGAGCGGAAGAGGTGGGAGTGCCCGGCGCTCCCGCAGGGCTGGGAGAGGGAAGAAGTGCCCAGAAGGTCGGGGCTGTCGGCCGGCCACAGGGATGTCTTTTACTATAGGTGAATGAACGTGCCGGCCGGGCAGGGCCCCAACGGGCGCCTCCCAGCGGCCTCTGCGGCGGCCTGGGCGCCTCGACCCGGGCTGCGGCCTGGGCCCGCGCGTGCGTCGTGCGTGCGTGCGTGCGTGCGTGCCGGCGCGCGGCGGCCCCGGTCCAGTGCGCGTGCGTGCCCCCCTGCCGCGGCCTCGTGGGGCGCGGGTCGGCGCCGGGCGGGCGGTGGCCTTTGTTCCCGCGGCCGCCGCAGGCCCGCTGGCGGGGCGAGGGGCGCCCGGCGCGGGCCAGACGCCGCTGGGAGGCGGGGGTGGGGGCTGGGCTCTCCCTTGAATCGGCGGGGCGCTCTGGGGTTCCGGGGCCCTTCCCGGGGTGGCCGGGGCCCCGCGACTGCGTGGCTTGAAGGGCCGCCTCTCCGAGACCACCGCTCCCGTGAGTCGTGGCCCCTCCAGTCTCAAAGACAGGAGGCGCGAGACTTCGTGAGCTCCCCTCCCCCAGATTGGAAGGAGGGGCTGCCGTTGGCCGGGGAGAGATGGCGAGGAAGGTTCTCGGCGGAATAAAGAATTAGTGGGCGGCTGGCAGCCCAGCCCCAGACAGTTGGCCACCTGGTGTTTTCCTTCCCGCTCCTTGTTTCTCTCTGGCTGGGGGAAGATGCTTCTGTCTCCGAGCCAGCTTTGGTGGCTGTCTCCCCCTTGCTCCAGGATCCAGGGCGGGCACGGTCAGGCCCCTAACAAAGTGAAGAGGGGCGCCCGCCACGTGTTGGAGGCGGGCCAGTGCTGGGGGTCGGGCTGCTGGTCCAGGGCCCAGAAACTCCCTGGGTGAGGCCAAGAGGGGCGGCAGTGCCGCGGTGGTCACCCGGCGCTTGAGCCCCGTCTGGGAAAGAGTGAGGGAGGTGAGCTGGGAGGGGATGGCGGCTGTCCACTATCAGCTCAAGTTCTGGGTTCCAGAAAGAGCAGGGACCCTGTAACTTCCGGCATTGAACTCGGGGAACTGCAAGCAGCGTCTTTCAGGGACACGTGCACTGCCTGCCGCCGCTGTCTGCACGGTCACTCCCTGGTCGCTCCCTGGTCACTCCCTGGCCGCCTGTTGGGACAGCCCAAGTCCTGGCGGCTCCGTCCTGCTGGGTTAGCGGGGAGGTCTGAGGCCGGGAACCGCCTGCTTGGTTTAACTCGGAGCATGCCCGCGTGGCTGCTTTTCTTGTAGGCACAAAGGCCCAAGCAGGTCTCTCTGGCTCTAGTCCTTTGTTAATTTAACAGAGTCTGTGGCACCTGCTGGGTCCTGGCTGTTCATGCAGCGGGGAGTGAGACCCTCCTCTCCGGGGTGACAGCACCCGCTGGCACCCTGTTACTCCCGTGGTTGCAGGTGGTGACCGATGCTGGGGAGCGCAGGGGTCTGTGAGGACCAGTAATGGGGTGCGGGCTGAAGGCTGAGGCAGCTCAGGGAGGGCTGAGCCCAGACAGTGGAACAGGGAGGAGCTATCCGGGCAGAGGGCGTGCTGCGCAGAGGCCGAGCCAAGGTCAGCGTGGCCAGGACACCGTGAGGAGAACATTGCTGTGCCTCTTGTCCCCACCTGCGTGTGGGCCTCTTTGGGCCTCAGCCAAGTGGGACCTTACTCTGAGGCCCTGGACCTGGGCTTGGGGCTCCCGCAGCGGGGAAAACCCTAAATGGACCGGACAGATAGGATTTCAGACTTGCTGTGACTCCACCCAGAGGTGGGTCTGAAGGGAGGAGGAAGGGTGGGGTCCAAGTCATTGGCCTGGATGACCCCCCAGGCAGGTGGGTGTCCCCTTCCCTCCCAGTGGGGAGGAGGTTTGTGGGGGGATGTGATACGGAACCCAGGGGGTTTTGTGGAACGTGGGTCTGTGGCCTTTCTGCCTTCTGGAGCTCCGGCGCAGCTGGGCAGCCGGGCAAGCGCATGGATGGACTTTCCTAACTCTTAACACAGAGGGAAGGCAGAACCCGAGGGCTTGGAGTCATTCAGGCCTGGTTTGGGGTCCAAGCCTTGTCCCTGGGAACAGGTGGGTCTCGATCTTGTCCAGAGAGGAGGGGAAGCGAGTTGTGCTTTGCAAGGTTGTCCTACAGGAGAAGTGGGGTGACCTCACAGATTGTTCCCATCCTTCCAACTTGAAGACCAGGCTCTGCTGAGACAGGGAGGTGGGCGGCTGGCACATCAGGCGGCAGCCGCGTAGCCTCTGTGACGCTCTCTGCCCAGGCAGGAAGCTGAGGGTTTGTGGGAAGTTAGTACCTGCCCTCGGAGCTCTTTCCTTGGAGGGGTGTGGAGGAGAGGGTCCTGCAGAAGAGCAGACAGTGCCCAGCACGTCGGCCCCCTGCCTCGGGCAGCCGGCTGTGGCTGCAGCCATGTGCGCTGTGCTGTAGGGGCGCATGGGCGACAGGCCACCTCTCGTCAGGGCCGCCCTGCGACCCTCCCAGCAGCCCTTCCTACAGACGAGAAGCCACACTGTCTTTCCGTCCCGCGTCCATCTCCTCTGGCCTGGGGCTTCGGGCTGGGCGCCGGCTCGTGTCCCCACAACCAGCCACTTGACAGGGGCCAGCCTGCAGCTCCCCTCCCCACGCCTCTAGCCCCTGGTCAGCGCGCTTTTATTTCTGTGTGCGGTTTTGTTAAATCTGGGGTTGTTAGGTTTTCTTTTTTCTTTTTTCTATTTTTTTTTTTTTCAATAAAACATCAGGGACATCTTTCTCTGTTACGACAGATTTCCAGAATCTTTGTGGAAAGTTGAGCTATAATCCACATTCTCCCCTGTCCATCCTTTAAAAGTGTGCGGTTCGGTGGATTTCAGTGTATTCACAAAGCTGTGTAGCCGTCACCACTCCGTAGTTCCAGAACATCCCATCACCCAAGATGAGGCCTGTGCCTGGAGCATCGCCCCCGTGCCCCCCCCACCCCCCCCCTGCCGCCTGTAGGATCTAATACACTCTGTCCTGCTTTTTTTTTCTTCCTTAAACAGCTTTTTTGAGACTAAGATCCACACCGTGTCGCTCACCCATTTAAAATGCACAACAGAATAGTTTCTAGTGTCTTTGCAAGTAGGTACGGCCACCTCCACGGTCAGTTTTAGGTCATTGTCACTGCAAGAGAGTCCCAGACCCCTAGTCACCGGTGCCCCACACACCACACACCGGTTCTATGCAGCCGCTTCTCTGTGCTCTGTGTTTGCTTCCTGCTCTGTAGTGTGTGTGGTGACTAGAGGCCAAGAAATGCTGGTGAGTGTTTCGTGGGGTCCCCTTCTTCCTCTGTGTGGCTGTATTTGACCCAGGTTCCTTCCCGCTGTCCTGGGCGTATAGGCCCCGTTCGTGTCAACCAGCACAGCGTCATGGAAAAGTAAATCTTCCCGGGGAGTCCCCGGGAGCCTCAGGACCCAAGGCCGCCAGGGGCTCTGGGAGCCGGGCGCCTGGTCCCCACACGCGTGCCCAGGCCCCCGGGGATGGTGCGGTTTGCAGCCTCAGCCCTGCTTGTGCAAGGTCCTGGGGGGAGTCGAGCCTGTGCAGCTGGCCACGCACTTGGGCCCTGGTGTTGTAGGAGGGGGGTTCCTTCTGGTCCCACACTACCCTCCATTGTCCCTAAGAGGGCGTGGGGGGCAGACGGGCAGTTGCTTGAATTAAGGGCTCATCCAAGAGCTTCTTCAGGGGAGATGAACAAAATCAAGCACTCAGCCGACCTCAGACCAATGAGCTGTTCTGGAGAGTAACTGCCCATCAGGTCGCCAGCAGGGACGCGCTTGGAAAGGCACCGAGTGCGCGGGTACCACACCAGCGCTGCTTCTGACAGCTGGAGGGCGATGTGAGCCACAGGCTGCACGGCTCCCCTGGTTAGCACGTGCACCCATAGAGCATGGGGTGTCAGGCAGCCATCACCACAGCCAGCTTTCAAACATTCCATCTCCCCGGGGTGCCTGGGGGGCTCAGTTGAGCATCCAACTTCAGCTCAGGTCATGATCTTGCACTCTGTGAGTTCGAGCCCCACGTCAGGCTCTGCGCTGACAGCTCACCCTGGAGCCTGCTTCAGATTCTGTGTCTCCCTCTCTCTCTACCCCTCCCCCACTCATGCTTTGTCGGTCTTTCAGAAATAAATATTAAAAAAAAAAGTTCCATTTCCCCAAGAGAAGCCCCATCCCCATCAGCAGTCACCCACCAGCCCCCCTTCCTGTCCGTGGAGGAGCCTGTTCTGAAAGTGTCACACACATGGACTCACACCCGGTGTGGCCTCCCATGTCTGGTTCCCTCCCTGAGCATCCTGTGTTCAGGGTCCGTCTGTGGGGCGGCGGGTGGGGGCGCCTAGCTTCTGCTCACGGCCAAGGGGCGTGCGCATGCGCGGTGGACACATGTTTGTCCGTTCACTAGTAGATAATTAGGCTGTTTGCACTTCATGCCTTTTATGAATCCCACTGCTCCGAATACCACTGGATGGAGTTTTACGTGGACGTGTGTTTGCGTGGTCTCAGGTGGATGTCGAGTGTGGGGTTGCTGCCCAGTCGTTTGAGGAGCTGCCTCACTTGTCCAAAGTGGCCGCACCAGTTGGTGATCGCACTGTCGTTATTAATGCCTACTGATCCTGTGCTGGTCCCTTCTAGTACCGTCTCATCGGCTGGGCTCAGCACCCCTGTGGGTCTGCATCAGTCGTGTCCCAGACGGGCTGGTGGCCCCCGGCTCCGTCCCAGACAGAACCTGGCCCCTGGCTCCTGCCACAAGGAGAGCAAGGTTGCAGAGCTTCACGGTCAGGGCTTTATGGCACCTGGTCTGCCAGTTTCCCAACGGCTCATACCTGGACAGCTGTTTGGAGTCCTAGCCCTGAATCTTCACAGGAGATTTTACAGCCCCCACCCGCAGGATACCCCAGTTCCCAGCGTGGCACCCGCAAGAAAGAGACTGTTGTTAGAGGTTGTCCCTCAAGCACCTGCTATTCTGGGCTCTTTTCTCAAAAGCATGGCCTCATTCTCCTTCAGGATGTTCTGGAACAGCAGCCGGGCTCCCAGGACTAGGCCCACCTTCTCCAGTCACCATGTCCCTGCTGTATTGGCATCTGCTGGGAGCCCTGGCCGAGCGGTGGCCCTGGGGGCAGGGGATGGCCCGGCACACCCTGCCCACCGCTGACCCCCTCTCTGTCCGCAGCCCCAGTGGGAAGAAGTTCCGGAGCAAGCCCCAGCTGGCCCGGTACCTGGGGGGCTCTATGGACCTAAGCACCTTTGACTTCCGGACTGGCAAGCTGCTGATGAGCAAGATGAACAAGAGCCGCCAGAGGGTCCGCTACGACTCCTCCAGCCAGGTCAAGGTGAGCCCTAGGTCAAGGTGAGCTCTAGGCCAAGGTGAGCTCCAGGCCAAGGTGAGCCCTAGGTCAAGGTGAGCTCCAGACCAAGGTGAACTCCAGGCTAAGGTGAGCCCTAGGTCAAGTGAGCTCCAGGCCTCAGGGCTTACTGGTAAAACCCGCTTTTGAGAGCTTGTTTGGAGGCTCTCGCAGGGAGCGCAGCTACTTGACTGAAGAGCGGTCCTCTATCAAGGAAGGTCGTCCTGTTCGACCGAGCGCGCAGCTTCGGGGGGGACGCACATGGAGTGGTGAGGGAGGAAGGGGACGCCCGCCTAGCCAGCCACATCAGCCGAATCAACCCTGGCGATCAATGGGGTGACAGATGTCACAGCCAGATCGTCCTCACGTCCTGGTAAAACCCGCTTTCGGAGGGTGCCTGGCTGGCTCATTGGTGAAGCACGTGAAAAGTCCTGATCTTGAGGTCATGAGTTTGAGCCCCACATTGGGCACAGGGTTTATTGAAAAAGAATTAATTTAAAAAACACGTTAAAAAAACAAACGCTTTTGGTGGGAGAGATGTTTCCACAGCTCAGTTTACTCGTCCTGGTGTTAGAGTCCTGACTGTAGAGGGCAGTTTGGAGCCACAGGAAAGCAGAAGGGATGATACCATCTACACTCTGTCTCTGGGTGTCTGTCACAACCTGTCCCCCGGCAGTGGGACCAGAGAGCAGCACATCTTTAGCCGGTGCGCGATGGCAGTATGTGTCCATTGGTCACTGGTGGATGTCTGTCCTGGGGGGCTTCGGTCCTGGCCACAGGGCAGGCGCACGGCTGGTCTGCAGGGCCTGGGCCTGGCCTCACCCCAGATCTGTGGATGCCGCGGGATATACTGGTGTTGGAGATGTGGGGCCCGTCCCCAAGGCCCACAGGGAGGGGCCCCTGCCGAGGAGCCCAGGGTGGTGGTGCCAGCTTGTGTGTGTCCACAGGGCAAGCCCGACCTGAACACAGCCCTCCCCGTCAGGCAGACAGCCTCCATCTTCAAGCAGCCGGTGACCAAGATCACCAACCACCCCAGCAACAAGGTGAAGAGTGACCCCCAGAAGGCCGTGGAGCAGCCTCGCCAGGTGAGCCGCCGGGACCCCGGCCCTTCCTCGGGCCGTCATGTGCCAGCCTTGCTCTGTTTCGTGGGGAGGGGTTCCATGAGAGCTCTAGTGCGTGTTCCCAAATGCCCATATGTAGCTGGTGAGAGTCTCGCGCAGGAGCCGGGGCCGTGGGAGGCGCTCGTGGCGGCCTGCACCGTCTACACCGCTCTTGGTGGCATTTGGATTGTAGCCAACTAAGTAACCATTCAGAGACCTGTCGTCTGCCTCCTGCTGCCGGCCACGCCTCTTAGCGCATCGCCCCAGAGCCCCGGTGCCGTCTGGGTGCGAGCTTCTCCACCTTCAGGGGCTCTGGGCCCCCCTGCCTGGCAATGGTTCCGGGCAGCGGGGGGTGGTTTGGATCCATCCAGCCTCTGGTGGGTCTTGTAGCTCAGCCCTGGCTGGACATTGGACTTCTGAACTTCAGGGTGAAGGGGGCCTTGCCCTCTGGGGTTGGGCCATCTTTTGGGAGCCACAGACCACCAACACCGACGGCAAGTCTGACTGCCTGGACTGGGGTTTCTCTGGCCCAGGAAGACCAGGGAGAGGCCGCAGCACCCTCGTCCCCCAGCAGGGAGCTCTGGCTGCTGTGGGGTCAGAGGTCATGCCGGGACCACCTCAGCAGATGTGGATGTGCCCTGGTCAGCGTCCCCGGGGCACGGCTGCCTGCGGTGGGGACAGGTGTGGGGGCAGGGCTGGCCGTCCGTCGGCCTCACGTCTGTGTGTCCGGTGGCAGCTCTTCTGGGAGAAGAAGCTGAGTGGCCTGAATGCCTTCGACATTGCCGAGGAGCTCGTGAAGACCATGGACCTCCCCAAGGGCCTGCAAGGTAGCCCCGGGATAGGCAGCCCGGCCGCAGGGTGGGGGCGGGGCGGGGCCGAGTGAGGGGAAGGACGGGGTGCGGCGCGCCGGCTGTCCTGGGGGCGCCTGAACGGCAGGGACGCGTGTGACTTTGCTGGCACACCTTAACGGCGAGGCGCAGCCTCTGCTGCTGTCCCGGAGGAATCACGCGCCTGTCCCAGGGGACTCAGGACCCAAAGCAGAGGCCGGGGGGGCGTGGCCTCCGGTGCCCGGTGGCGAGTGCCTCCTGCCCCTGCAGGCGTGGGACCCGGCTGCACAGACGAGACCCTGCTCTCGGCCCTCGCCAGCGCCCTGCACACGAGCACCATGCCCATCACCGGGCAGCTCTCGGCCGCCGTGGAGAAGAACCCCGGGGTGTGGCTGAACACGGCCCAGCCCCTCTGCAAGGCCTTCATGGTGACCGACGAGGACATCAGGTACCACTCTGTGCGTCCAGCCCCCGCCCTGCCCGGGGGTCCCCACGCCGCGCCCCTCTGCCCACACTCTCGGGTCCAAAGCGCACGTAGCCACCGCGAGGGTGCAGTTAGAGAGCAAGTCTTCCGTTCAGAGCTGGCCCGAGGCGGACGGGAATGGGAAGCATCCTTGCGGTTTGGGAATGCTCTTGGGAGGAGAAAGTGGCTCTTCCCCTGTGTGGACAGGCTCACTCTGTGGCCCGCCGTCTCGGGCATGTGACCCTTCCGGTGCTCACCAAGGGCTGCAGGGATGTGGCCGCGACAGGCAGGGGAGCAGGGGGCGAGGGGCAAGGCCAGACACGCCGCAGGGCCTGGAAGGCCAGGCTGGGTCTAGACTGGAGCCGTGGCTGGGGGCACCGGAAGGGCTTCCCGGCCGTGCTGGCGCCCTGCTGCAGGGGCGAGGGGTGCAGGCGTCCGTCCGCCAGAGCCGCCTGGGAGGGCGTCCCGGTGAGGCCACGTGCGAGCGGCCATGCGTCCTCTCTAACCGAAGGGCAAACGCGCAGCTGAGGCAGAGTGAGGTCGGGGCTCTGCGGGCCCCACAGAGAGAAGGCGCCGGAAGCACGGCGGGGGCTGCCCGTGCGCAGGAGTCCTGCCCTGGGACGCGGGACCCGGCCAAGCCCAGGCCCCGCGACGTGAGGACTCAGAGCCACGGGCTGCGGAGGAGCACGCTCCCGGGGAATCGAAGGGAGAAGGGAAGAACACGGCCATCTGCAAGACCAGACGGCGGTTTAAAGCTAACAGAGCTTTTAGAACTAGGAACAGCCACGGCGGGAGAAGCTCGTGGTGGGGGTCAGCAGCGAACCGGGTCGTGTCTGGAGGGGGGCTGCCGGCCGGCAGTGTGGAGCGGCAGGGGACGGGCCCCCAGAGCAGGGAGGGAAGGCGGCGGCGCTCTGGGCTCTGGTAACAGAAGCCGAGAGACCGAGAACGCCCTTCTCCGCCTGGCATTGTCCGCCTGCAAGACGCCACCAGCCAGGGGGCCAGTGACGCTCTGGCTGGACGCGGTGACCGGACACCCTCGTCTGCTTTCTCTTTGCACGCCCCGCTCGGGCGACGGGTCGGGGACTGTGCGCATGTGTGCTGGACCCCGGGAGGAGGAGGAGGCAGGTGGTGACTCGTCTGCGGTGCCTGCTGGGACGGGCAGCAGCGGGCGGGGGGCGGTCCCAGCCCCCCCCCCCCCCGGGTGGAGACTGTAGGACCCGGGAGCTGGGCCAGCGGGCCCCTCGCCGGGTAGGGGTCGCCCTGCACCTGGGGTGAGGGACACAGGGCCCCAGAGGCGGCCCGCCCGCGTGCGCCTGCTCACCGCGGTCCCCCGGAGGCGGGACGGCCCGGCCAGCGCAGCCCCTGTGTCCCCAGGAAGCAGGAGGAGCTGGTGCAGCAGGTGCGCAAGCGGCTGGAGGAGGCGCTGATGGCCGACATGCTGGCGCACGTGGAGGAGCTGGCCCGGGACGGGGACGCCGCGCTGCACACGCCGGGCGCCGACGAGGGGGACGAGGGGGACGAGGAGGACGAGGAGGCGGAGCCCGAGCAGGACGAGGAGGCGGGGCCCGTGTAGAGCGGTCGCGGGAAGAGGGCCTCGCCCTGCGCAGGGCGGTGGCTGGGCCGGCCTCCCTGGAGGGCAGCCCCCCCTCCCCCCGCCTCCCCCAGGACGCTGATGGCGCCTCTCCGTGTCCTTGCAGAGGCCCCACCCGCGGACTAGGCCCGGGCGCGGTGGCCGGCTGGCCCGGGAGGAAGGCGGCCCCTCCTTCCCAGGCAGGGCCCCCCCCGGGTCCCCGGGGGCACAGCTGGAGAACAGCCCCCTGCCCGATGGGCCACCCCGCTTGCTCTTCTCTGGAGGGCGTGGGTCCCGAAGTGCCAGTGGCTCCCGCGCCCGCCTGCGGGAGGCCCCCCTCGGAGCCGTCACTCCGCGGTGTCCCACAGCTGCCGCACGCGGACAGCTGCCACCGGGCCGCCTGCGAGGGTCCTCAAGGGGCTGGAGAGACAGGTTTCGGGCCAGTCTTGCTCCCTGATCCCTGCGTGAGAGACGATGTTCCAGGGCCAGCCCGCCAGCTGTTCGGAAGGGGGTGCGGACCGCTCCCCTGCGCGCCGGCCAGCGGGCAAAGCCACGATGGCCCGGAGCTCAGCCGGGGGCTGTGGTGCCACCCAGACGTTTCCCTTCAAGAAACCCGGGACTCAGGAGGCCGGATGGCCACGTGCCAGCTCTGGCCGTGTGTGTGCCGCACGTGGACACGAACCCTCCATCACACCTGCCCTGTCGGACGCTCAGCCACCGGAGACCGCAAATGCTCACAGCTGATTCGTGGGCCGGCCTCCGTGCCTCCCCGTCCCTGTCCCGCGCGGCCGGGACCGTGACGCCCGGCTCTCAGGGCCACAGCTCTCCCAACTTCCCATCCTAGGGGTGCTTTACGGCCCAGCATCTCCAGGCACCCGGTGCCTCGCACGGCAGCCTCCGGGGGCTCCGGGCACAGGTCGTCCAGATTGCGTTCCTTAACCCCCGTCCCCTCCAGCCCTGAGTGCCTTGGGTGAGGGGAGCCCCCCCGGCCCGCCCCGCCCCTGCAGCTGTCACGCTGGCGGGTGTGGGGGGAGGGGGGCCAGCGCTGCCCGGGGACGTGCCCCCGCAGCATGGTTCAGGCCCAGTCAAAGCACAAACCCTTGAGAGCCACCCCCGGGTGCCCCGCGTGGGCCGTGGTGCCGGTGCTGCGGGGGCCCTCAGGAAGGCCCCTCCGCGAGCCGCTGAGGCGGAGCTCCGTCCGGGGCTGGCCCCTGTGCGGGCCTGGGTGCGGGGGCGCCCGGGAGGCACCCTGTCGGTGGGCAGCCGTTGAATAAAGCCATCTCGGTGAGTGTGGTTTGCAGTCTTCGTTTAATTCCAAAGACCCAGGGCCTTTGTGTCCTGGGGAGACGGACCCTGCCTGGGCCGTCGGTGCTGGGCTGTGTGTGTGCGGTACCTTGTCATGGGCTGGATGACCACAGGGAGCCTGAGGACCCCTGTGGCTTTTCCCAGGGAAGGCGGGGTCCCCCGGGGTCTCAGGAGCTCCCAGCGCTTTTGGGGACAGAGCCCGTCTCTGAGGGTTTCTGGAGGAGCCAGCACCTGAGCACAGGAGCCCCTGTGACGGCCTCCGAGCCCCCAGGTCCCACTGCTGCCCAGACCGGAGGAGTCCCAGGCGTTGGGGGCGGGCGTCTGTGCTGGGAGCCCAGCAGGGGGGCGTCCTGGCGGGCTCCCGAGGGCCGTGCCCCTCACCCAGCAGCCCCCCCCGGGCCAGCACTGACAAGATGACGGGGACCCGGGCCCCGGATGATCAGGCGCCGCCTGCCCCACGTCTGTAGGCAGCAGACGGTCTGCCCTGCCTGGGGCAGTGGGGAGGTGGCTGCCTGGACCCCCCCAGCTCTTCTGTCCCCATGTCGCAGCTGGTCAGAGCCTGGGCCTGGAGCCCCTCTGCTCCGCACCCCGCCACGTGGGGCTTCCGTCTGCCGCCCTCGCCCTGCTCAGTGTCCGCATGCTTCCACTCTGCAGCCACTCCCACCTCCCCCTCCGCGGAAGAGCCCAGCTCCCAGCAGGGAAACCAGCCCAGGCTGCACCTTGGGGGGGGGGGGGGGGACCGGCTGGGAAGACACCCAGCCCAGCAGAGAGCTTCAGTCTCCCCGACCCCAGGCCCAGAGGGCCCCTGAGTGGCCACCGAACTCCAGCCTCAGAAGCGAGGATAGTGTCCGGGATCTCGCCCAAGGTCATCCACAAATGAATGTGCACAGAAGACGTATGTGTCCACACGGTGGACTGGGATCGTGGTCTGGCATGAGAGTGAAATGTCACCTGTCCCACAGTCACGCCTCCACGCAGCCCGGAGCCCATCTTGACCCTGGGCTGGGGCGCCTTGCGAGCCTGAGGGCCCCTCCTGAATTCTTTCCTGTTCCCAGAGACCCTTAGTGCGAGGGCTGAGGAGAGGGCTCCCGGGCTACAGGTCACAGGATGCATCTGGCTCCAGCCCCTCCCTCCCAGCGCCACCTGCCGGGCGCCACCAGCATGGGCATGACCACGCCGCGGATCGGAACCACGCTGAGATCTCCACCAGGCGCCCAGCAGCCCCTGCAGGCATAGAACTTTCTGAACCACGTGAGCCCCCCGGGGCTGCTGTGACCCGTCACCACACGCAGATCCTCGGACACTCCCGGAGTCGTGGTCCTGACACCCCAGGGAGCCCCGTCTCCCCCACTTTCCGGCTTCCGGCGGCGCCTCATCCTCGGCCCGCGGCCCCTCCTCCGTCCTCACGGCCAGCAGCGCGGGGTCCGCCCGTCTCTCTGCCTCAGACCGCATTACCCTGAAGATCCCGTGTCTCCTCAGGCGGCCTGCGGCGCGGCCCCCGCAGCTTGGCCGTCTCGCCCCTTCCGTCCGAGCTCACTGCCGCCGCCCCGGCCTGTGTGCACAGGCGCCCCGAGGCCTGGTGCTGGTCGGGCTCAGGCCCCACAGCGCGGGACGAGGAAGGGAGCCTCGGGTGCCCCAAGGCAATGACTCCTAACAGAACAAGCGGGTGCTTCCTAGCAAACAGTGGCAGAACTGGGCAGAGAGACCAGCTCCCTCAGATTTCTGGAAACGTCCGGTAGGATGGCCACCAGCCACGGATGGCTGTTTCAGTTCAAATTGGCTACAACTAATTAAACAGCCCATTCCTCACACACGGCTGGTGGCTACTGAACTGGACAGAGCAGACGGAGAACATTCTGTCTTCTGTTAAGTTCTAATGCACGTTTTAGAACAGAGACTCTTAGGTGGGTCTGGGTGGCTCAGTTGGCTTTGAGCATCTCTATTTTGAGAGAGAGACACTGCAAGGGGGAGGGGCAGAGAGAGGATCCGAGGAGGCTCTGAGCTGTCAGCACAGAGGCCGACACAGGGCTCGAACTCACAAACCGTGAGATCATGACCTGAGCCGAAATCAAGAGTTGGCCACTTAACTGACCGAGCCACCCAGGCACCCCTGAAATGCCCGACTCTTGATCTCAGGGTCATGAGTTTGAGTCCTGCCTTGAGCATGAAGCCTACTTTTTAAAAAAAAAGTCTAGGAAAGAAACTCTGCTTTTGCTAGGTGGGTGCCCAGGCCCCCACCCTGGTAAGACTGGGTAAGTCTTGGTTGAGATTCAAGGCACTCAAAAAATGGAAATAACCCAAGAATCTATCAACAAATAACGGATGCAGAAAATACATCCAGCCACGCGCACATCCGTCGGCGGCGAGCGAGACACCGGCCCCCCCTCGGACAACCCTGAACACGCGACGCTCAGGCAGGAACCAGACACGGGAGGCCGCTGTGATTTTCTTCTCAGACGCGATGTTAATTTTGCATCGACTTGCCGAGGCCGAGGGATGCCCAGGCAGCTGGTACACGTTTGTTCCGGGGGTGTCCTCGCACACGTCTGAGGGGATGAGAATGAGTGGAGAGACCTCACTCATCGACATGCGCATCGTTCAATCTGGCCGCCACGGCCGTCTCCGCCTCGGACGCTGGCGCCGGGTCGCGAGCCTCCGGGTCTCCAGCTCGCGGCCGGCAGCCCGTGGGCCCCTTGGCCTCCAAAACCACGTGAGCCAGTCCGCTTGTCTCCCCTCAGAGATCTCTCCCTGGGCCCCCCCCACCGGTTCCGTTTCCCTGGAGAGCCCTTAACACGGCCAGAGTGGGACTGGCCTCTGTGAGAGGTCAGGAGAGGGCACTCCGTAGAGACAGAAAGTGGGTTCGTGGGTGCCAGGCTGGGGGTTAGGGGCTGGGGTGCTGCTAGTGGGGATGGGGTGGCCTGTCCACGTATTGATACTGTTCTAAAGTTGACAGCGGCGACAGTTGCACAATTTCTTGATTTTACTAAAAGCCACTGAACTGTCTAAATGGGCAAACGGGGCGCCTGGATGTGCTCAGTCGGTTAAGCGACACCAAGGGGGCGAGAGGGAACTTTCTGGGCTGCGCATTTGGGCAGGAGGAGCTCATCAATCTGACAGTAAAAACGGGTGTGTTTTCTGAAGCTAATATAACACAGTGTTAACTACCTGGAATTAAAATAAAAACTTGAAAAATAAGTGTTTCGTTGCATGTACGTTACATCTAAACAACAACGCTTGATTCACAAACGTTTCCTGGAGCCCCAGATTGCCGCCATCAGCCCGCGGTGCTTTGATAAGCGAGAAGGCTGAAAATACAAACTCCGGGGAAGGCGGTTTTGTGGTTTTATAGTCTTTGGCAATGTGGTTTTTTCCCTTGACTATTTCTTATTCTTTCAAAATGTGCCCACAGAGGAGGTCGGCCCTGGAAGGGGAGCCCAGCGGGTGGAGCCACTCAGGCCCCGTGAAGGGTCCCCCGGAGCAGATATAACAGGGTCTCCATCACAGCACTTCCCAAACATGTTTCAAGAACTGTTTAAAAAAAGGGGGGGCCACCTGGGGGGCTTAGTCAGTTGAGCGTCCGACTTCGGCTCAGGTCATGATCTCACGGTTCGTGGGTTCCAGCCCCGCGTCGGGCTCTGTGCTGACAGGTCGGAGCCTGGAGCTGCTTCAGATTCTGTGTCTCCCTCTCTCTCTGACCCTCCCCTGCTCATGCTGTCTCTCTCTCTTTCTCTCAGAAGTTAATAAAACATTAAAAAAAAAAAAAAAAACTGTTAAAAAAAAAAAAGCATATAGTTAAAAACAAAGAGGTCAAATATCACTAAAATCCTCATGAGGGGAAGTGGCCATGCCCAGCCCCGCAGCCCCGGGAACCCCTTCCAGCAGCTATGCTGATTCCTTGGGGCGCTTTCCTCCCTGCTGCTTTTTATCCTTCTTGGCCCCCCAACCCACCACCCCCTTCCCATCCGCGGAGGAGCCTGTTCTGGACGCGTCACGCACGCGGACTCACACCCCGCGTGGCCTCTCGTGTCTCCTTCCCTCCCTGAGCGTCGTGTGTTCGGGGTCTGTCTGCGGGCAGCGGGTGTGGGCCCTGTGCAACCATGGAGGATTTGGGTGCTGTTCTCACAGACCTCCCCAAATGAATCTCTCAATGGACAGTTTCTAAACTTAAACATAGGGGCCCCTGGATGGCTTAGTCGGTTAAGTATCTGACTCTTGGCTTCAGCTCAGGGGATGATCTCACAGTTCGTGAGTTCAAGCCCTGCGTTGGGCTCTGAGCTGACAGTGAGGAACCTGCTTGGGATTCCCTCTCTCTCCCTCTCTCTGTCTCTCCCCTGCTCATGCTCGCTCGCTCGCTCGCTCACTCTCTCTCTCTCAAAATAAGTAAACTTAAAAATAAATAAACTTTAGGGGCGCCTGGGTGGCTTAGTCGGTTAAGCGTCCGACTTTCGCTTAGGTCATGATCTCGCGGTTCGTGGGTTCGAGCCCCGCGTCGGGCTCTGTGCTGACTGCCAGCTCAGAGCCTGGAGCCTGTTTCAGAGTCTGTGACTCCCTCTCTCTCTGACCCTCCCCTGCTCACTCTGTCTCTCTCTCTGTCCTAGAAATAAATAAAACATTAAAAACAATTAAAAAATAAATAAATAAATAAATAAATAAACTTTAAACATGTATATATTTGGGGGGGCACCTGGGTGACTGAGTCAGTAAAGCCACTTCAACTTGGGTCAGGATCTCATGGTTTGTGGGTTCGAGCCCCGTATGGAACTGTCAGCACAGAGCCAGTTTGGGATTCCCTCTCTCCCTCTCTCTGCCCCTTCCCCACTCTCTCTGTAAATAAATAAATAAATATACTTAAAAAATTGTTTTTATTATGGAAAGTTTTGAAATACATCAAATCGACAAATGAAGCCCACGAAGCACCGGTCTCAGGAAGGATGTTCGGGGCCCCGCCCACTCCGCTCCCACAGGGCTTCCCTCCGACATCCTAGGGGAGGAATCCCGGATCCCGGGCTGTGTCCAGGGAATTTCACCATGACCCTCACAAGCCCACCGCCTACACACGGGCTGGCATTGAAGGGTGAGCGCTTCTCAAGCAGGGTGACTGTGTACCCAGGGAGTGCAGACAGTCTGGACTGTCCTTCCCCGGGGGTGGGGGGGTACTGTGGGTTGCAGTGTCCCCCCCAAAAAAAGATTTGTCCATGCCCTGATCCCTGAGCCTGTGAATGGGGTCCTACTTGAAAGCAGGGTCTTTGTAGATGTAATGACCAAGATGGGCCACACTGGAGTGGGCTGGCCCTGAATCCAATGGCCGCCGAGTGTGAGTGTCCTTATGAGAAATGTGGACACAGAGGCACAAGGAGAGGCCACGTGACTATGGAGGCCGAGGGCAGTGATGCGTCCACAGCCACAGAACGCTGAGGGCCGCCAGCCACGGCCCTGCCATACCTTGACCTGGGATTTCTAGGCTCCAGGACTTGGAGAGAATAAATTGGTGTTGGAAGCCGCCTCGTTTGTGTTTATTTGCTGAGACCAAAGAAAACTAACCAAGGGGAGCAGGCCGGGGGAGCAGTGGCTCCTGAGATCAGCGGAGGCCAGGGCTGCTGCTGGACGAAGCACGGTGCCCGGGAGAGCCCCCCATCCCACCCCCACCCCCGCAGAGAAGGACCCGCCCTGACTGTCCCCAGGGCAGGGGGAGAAAGCCTGTTCCAGGATTACCACTTTCACAACCTTTCCCCCGAGGCGTCATCCCCGTCCGCCCCTCCCTCCCTCCGTCCTAATTCTGGTGTGTTTCAAAACACCACCTTGTGCTTCCTAAATACTCAGCATGCAACCTGCCTGAGGTCAGGGGGTTACAATTCTAGAAGGACTTCTGAAGTGCCTCACCATAGGGCCACCGCTGACCACCCACGCAAACATCGAACAGGTCAGCCTCACACACCCCGATGGGACGCAGGTGCGAAGACTCCAGAGTCCCTGCCCCCTCTCTTCTCCCGACTCTGAACCCAACCCGTTCGCTGCTGAACGGGCCTCCTTCTTCAGTTGGCAGCTGTCTTTGCTCTCAGGGGCCACCTCCCTGCAGCCCAAGGCCTCGGGCGACGCCCCAGGCCCACTTTCCAGAGCCCCCCTGCACCATTCTCTTCCGCTCACCTTCCCGTGGCCGTGGCGGCACCTGTGACTTCATTTTATTCCTTCCTCGTTTGGCTGGAGTGCATCCTGCAGTATGCTAAGCTGATCTGAGGACCTCGCTGGCCTGAACTGTCTTGATTCTTCTTCCCACTTGACATAGACCTTGGGGTTGGCCATCACTTTCCCCAGGGTGCTAGGCCTTCTTTTTCCTGATCATTTATAATATGGTCTGGAAGCACTTAGGAGTCCCAGGGCCACTAACAAGTCTTCCCAGGACAAGCTGTTGGGTCCTGACTATTCAGAGATCCTGGCCTCACTGTCCCCTTCCGCTATTTCTTGGACAACTCCCTCCACTCCCCCTCTGCTCTCTCTGAAAGTCTTGGCTTATCCCTCTATTTCCCCCTCCTCTCCAGTTCCCAATTCTTTTCGCCTGACTTTCTAGATTTCTCCAACTTGACCCTTCCAACTAACTTCCTGCTGAAGTGTTAGTGCCAGCCTACTGTGCTAGCTCCCAAACCCTCTCTTCTTCTCTGTCCCCCGTCACCTTCCTGTGGCCGGATGCCTGCATCTGTGAGCAAAGCCTGCACACGCACCCCACCCCCAGGGACACTGGTGTCTCCAGGTGGCGGCTGTGAGCCTCCCCCGGGAAGCTCTGTCTGCTTCTCCCCCATCATCAGATGCTGCCTCCCCTCCCAAGTCCCGCAGAGGGAAGTGCAGGAGATGTGAATGGGGCCTAGGACTAGAAACTGCAAAGCAGAGAGGCAGGGAAGAGCAGGCCATCTCGGGTGCACAAACGCCTAGCCCAGGGCAGAGGCCACCCTGCACCCAGCTTGTCTGAAGCCCCCTCTGCCGAGACTGATGGGGCCAGGAGGTGCTTTAAGGAACGTGTATGCAGGTGCATAGCCTCCAGAAGCGCACGGCAGAGCAGGCCACACCTGTCACCACCAAATGATTCTCCTTTCGCCCACTATTATTCTCCGTTCCGCCAGCTCAAACACGTCTGACTTCTCCCCACCCCGTCCGGTCCCCTGCTTCTCCTGAGCCCCTTTCTCAGCTCGTAGCCCCTGCAGCCCTTTGTGTCTCCTTCCTCCAGCAGGCCTAGGGCGCAGGCCACCTCCTTCCACCCTGGCTGCGGCCCCAGGAGGGGGATCAGCACATGCCAAAGCCGGGCCCTGAGAAAAGGCACTGAGGATGAGTGCCGGGGACAGAGGGGGAGGGGCCCTGGGCCTGGCGGGGGGGCCAGGGCAGCTCATGCAGCACACTTGTGGGGGTGCCGGGGACGAGGCCCGTGTGAGCGGGAGTGCCGATCAGTCACACACAGTGCTTCCCGGGGCACAGATCCGCAGCCCCCCCCCCCCCGGGGGAACCTGGTCCCGCGGGGAGAGCACTAGACATAAGTTATTACGAATTAAATAAATACCCATGAGTGTCCAAGTGCACAAAAGAGAAGTCTGGGACCCTGAGAGAGGAACTTGGGCTGAATGTCAACCTGAGGGTCAGGAAGGACTTTTCAGGGTGGTGAAGGGTTCCAGGCACAGGCACCAGGCGTCTGTCAAGGGCGCCTGTCAGGGAAGTCCGAGGGGTGGGGAGAGCACAGGAGGTGGGAGGCGGCGGCTCAGGCACTACATGGGGCGAGGGGTGGGGTACCCCGGTCGGGGTCGGGAGCGGGGAAGAGCGCCGGGCGTCCCCTCTGCCACCTCGGGGGACTGGTGTCCTCCGCCCGAGGCTCCACCGCCAGGCAGGAGCCCGGGCTGGGTCGCCCCGAGCCCGCCCCCAGCCCATTTATCGTGAGAAACCGCACAGGAAAACGACAAGGGCTCCTTCCCGACCCCGAGGGGCCGCTGGAGAAAGGGCCGCGGGCGCACGACGGCTTTGGGGATGGGCGCGCCGGGCTGCTCTGCGAGCCCGCAGGTCAGGGGGCCCCCAGCCGGGAAACACCGCCCCCCACGTGGCGGAGGCGCGGGCTCGGCCAGCACCCCCGCCGGGGCAACCCCGGGGCCAGGGGGGAGACGGGAGAGGGGGTGGTGCGCGGGGCGCGGGGAGACGGCCGGCAGGGGCGTGCGGGGCCCGGGCAGCCGGACGCGCCGCGCGCACAGGGGCCGGAGCCCGCGGGCACCTACCTGCGCCCGCGCCCGCGCCCGCGCCCGCCACGTGACCGCGCCCCGCCCCGCGCGCGCGTGCGCTCTGCCGGCGCCCCATTGTTGGCCGCGCGCGCGTCACGGGGCGGGGCGGCGGCGGCCGGAGGAGGGCGGCGGGCGGGCGGGAGGGAAGCAGCGTCCGCGCCGCCGCCGCCGCCGTCGCCGCCGCCGCCGCCGCCGCCGCCGCCGCCGAGCCCCCGCCGCCGAGCAGCAAGCAGAGTCGCGCCGCCCCGCCGCCCGCGGCCCGAGCAGCCCCGCGCCGCCGCCCCGCCCGCCGCGCCCGCCCCGCCGCTGGATGCCGGCGGCCGGCGGCCCAGCTCTCAGAGGCGGAGCGCGGCGGCGGCGGCGCGGGCGGCGGCGGCGGCGCGGGCGGCCGGCGGCCGAGAGGCAGGGGCGCGGGCCCGAGCGCTAGCGCCGCCATGCCTGGCTCCACCGGCCGGCCCGACGGCGGCGGCGGCGACCCCAGCCCGCGCCCGCCGCCCCCCCCCCCCCCGCCCCCGCCACTGCCGCCGCCGCCCCTGCCCGAGGGCGCCGAGGAGGCCGCGCCCGACGACGCGGCCGCCGCCGCCGCCGCGGCCGCCGCGCTGCGCCTGGCGCTGGACCAGCTCTCGGGGCTGGGGCTGCGGGGCGCGGGCGGCCCGGACGACGAGGGCGCGGCCGCGGGCGGCGGGGACGGCGGGGCGGCGGCCGAGCCCGCGCCCCCCGACGGGCCCGAGGCGGGCGCCCCCGCGGGGGCCGAGGCCGGGGCGCCGGGCTCGCTGCCGCTGCTGGAGCCCGACGTGAGCCCGCCGCCGCCCCGGCCGTCGCCGCCCGACGTGTTCGCCGGCTTCGCGCCGCACCCCGCGGCTCTCGGCCCCTCGACGCTGCTGGCCGAGCAGATGAGCGTGATCGGCAGCCGCAAGAAGAGCGTGAACATGACCGAGTGCGTGCCCGTGCCCAGTTCCGAGCACGTCGCCGAGATCGTGGGTCGCCAGGGTGAGTGCCCGCCGTCTGGGGCGCCGCTCGCCCCGGGGTCCCCGCGCCGCTCGCCCTGGGGAGGGGGCCGCCCCAGCCCCGCCCGCGGCTGGACGCCGGACCCCGGCCACGCCCGGCGTGTGGGCTCGGGCCTCGGTGGCCGCCTGTGCGCCTTTGTCCTGCCGCGGGGCCGCGCGAGAAAGTTGGGCGCAGCCCGCGCTCCTCCCCTCCGCGCCCGGCCCGCCGTTGCCTTTGTCTGGACGCCCCCAGCCGGGTCAAGACCCTCTGTGCAGCGCCCCTGCCCAGGCCGCCACTGGTGGCATCCGAGGACCGGGGGGCCGAGCTGGGCGGTGGGCGCTCCTCACCCGAAGCGGGCCTGAGGCGGGGCTCGCTGGGGCTAGAGGGTGGCTTGGGGGGCGGGGCAGGGGGGGCTCAGGCAGGGTCAGGACAGAAGTTGGGCGTGCAAAGAGGGTATACATCTGCACTTGCTAGCTTGTGGGCCCTGCTGGCGCTGGGGGGCTGGAGCACGGATGAGGATCCCCACCCTGCTGTCAGCCCCAAGTCAGGGGTTTGGGGACATGCATATGGACCATCTGTACAAGCCCTTCTGGGGTCCGGCCTCACAGCCCTGCCCTGGAGTCCAGCGGCAGCAGTGTCAGAGTCACTGTGGCCGCCCCATTGTTCTCTTTGTTAGAGAACCAGTCTGAGGTTTGCAGGGTGACATCAGGCCGGCGGCCGCTCATTGGCCCTGGAGCCGGAGCTGCGGGCTGGGGGGGGCGGGAGGTGCCCCTCCGGACACACGCCCACCCACCCTCCCAGCCTGCTGCCCACAGCCCCAGCCCTCTCCTGCCTGCACCTCTGTCTGCCCCGCTCCCTGCTTGGAGCCAGGTTCTAGAACGTGGGGTGGGGTCTGGGCGGGGCTGGAGGAGGAGCTGCGGGACACTCAGGATGGCCTTTGAGCTCAGTAACGGGAGCCAGAGAAGGGGGGGGGGGCTGTCACCTTGCTGCTGGGGAGAGAGGGCCGCAGGGATGCCCCGGACAGTGCCCTCTAGGAGGTCCGGGTGGGAGCGGTGGTGTAGGGCCTGGGCGAGGGACAGAGGCTGGGGAGAGGGGAGGGGCCGGGCCAGTCTCTGGGCTGGAGCCACAGGACTCCAGCCTGGCGCTTCCCGCCACCACCCGCTCCCCACACCTGCCCTGGGAGGTATAACCAGACTTCGCCGCCACGTGCAGAGCGTCCGGAAGCCTGCAGGCCTGGGGGGTGGGGGGTGCACACGTGGAAACCGTGCCCGGGGGCTGCTGTCCAAAACCGCTAGGCTGCTTGCTGGCTGGGGGAGCACGAGGACGTGTCCCCGGGAGTGGCGTGTCCTGGCCCCCGGGGTTCTTCCACAGAGGCCAAGTCCACAGCAGGGCTGGTGGGGGTCAAGCAGAGGGTGTCCGAGCCTGTGCCCTTGGTCCTGGAGGACTAGGCTCAGGGGGTCAGCCCCCACCCCGACCTCCCGGGTGTCCCTTTGGGGTCTTGCTGGTGGCAGGTGGCAAGGCAGGTTCTGGGGGGCGCAGACCGGGGCGGTCCTGTGACCCGAGGCAGATGCCATCTCTGTGCTGGGGGACAGCACCTCCCTCGGGGGCTTCGTGACGGTTCCTAAGCAAGAGAGTGCTTTTGGCTTTTAAGTTTGTTTATTTATTTTGAGAGACAGAGATAAAGAGAGAGAGCTGAGCAGGGGGGTCAGAGACAGAGAATCCCCAGCAGCCTCAGCCCTGTCAGCGCAGAGCCCCGTGCGGGGCTTGAACTCAGACCCTTGAGGCCGTGACCCGAGCGCTGTAGCAAGAGGCTTGTAGGCGCAGCCCGAGGCTGGTGTGCGGTAGCCTCCTGTAAGTGGGGGGGGGGGGGGCAGAGTGTCGGTGGGGGGAAGCCTCAGTTCTGGGACCAGCTGGCACCTTCGTCAGCCCTTGGGTCTCCCACCTCTAGGACCATTCTTGGCTCCCATCTTCTCTGGCCCGGTTGTCAAGCACAGCCTGGAAGACTCTCTCACAGCCTGTGCCCTGGTCGCGCCCCCTCGCTTCCTCCCTCTGCCACCGACTCCCCACCTTGTGGGTCCCTGGGCGCGAAGCCTGTCCCTTCCTACGGTTCAGGCTCTTCCCCAGCGCAGCGGCTCTGAACTCCTTTGTCTGTCAAGGCCCAGGCCCACTCCGTCCCCTAGCGGCCAGGCCAGCGTCACACGCAGCCACACAGACCCTCACTTGCTGTTCTCTGAGCTATTTTTCAACCCTAGGATGGGTCCCTGCACCCTCTGGGGTCAGGGTTGGTGATTACAAACCCAGAGAGTTCACTCTCCTCCCTGAGGTTGAAGCACCTACAAGCTGCCCTGCATGGGAGCCCTGCCCCACCCCGCCCCACCCCGCCCCGCCCCGCCCCGCCCCGCCTCAAGAGATCCCCCAGAGAAGGTCCCCTGGAGCTGTGGGTCATGAGGGACAGAGGCACAGGCCAGAGCTGGGTCGGCAGGCATGGGATTTGAACCTCAGTCCCTGTGGCCCCGCCTGCACCGCAGGGGACAGAGGTGGCCCAGGAGAAGACTCTACCTTCCAACCTTCCCCAGGGCCGGGGGGAGACGACCCCGTTTTACAGGCAGCAAAAGCAGAGAATCCAAAAGAGTCAGGGTGGTCTCCCTCCAGCCGGTCAGCAAAGGTCACCTGGGGGGCTGGTGCCCGCTTGCCCCCGGTGTGACCTTGGGCCCCGGCCTCCCAAGAGCCTCCCAGCCGCTTGCACCCTTGCTGGGCGTGTCCCTGCGGGGAGGGGCCGGGTCAGGGGCGGCTTGTGGTCAGCGCCCTGCTGCTGCCTGTAGGTTTGCGTCAGGAATGGGTGATGATACCAGAGGCAGGCGGGTGCTCAGCTGCCCTGGGTCCCTCTGTCTCCGCCGCCATCAGGCTGGGGACTGTGCTCTCGGACGGGCCTCCCTTAGTGGGGCAAGGCCTGCTTTGCTCACTGCTCTCCCTGTGAGCCCGGGCCCAGCGCCACGGGCCTCGGGGCTCTTCCTGGCACCTGGGGGCGCTGCGGGGCACTGGTATTCCCGTGTGTCCACTGCGGGGCGCAGAAAGAAGGGGGTCCCTTGGCTCTGGGTCGGGGGTTCCTTGTGTTGGTGAGTGTAGACCTGCCCTGATGGGCCACCCCCCCCAGACCGCCCCACTGTGAATCGCCCCCCGCCCCAGGACTGCAGCCCATTTGGGCTCTGCCGTGGGGTCAGCCCCACTGGGCTGGGGGCCGTGGTCGCTGTGAGGACGCGTCCCAGCCCTGTCCTGCTTCCAGAACTCCATCCCCCCCCCCCCCCCCGCCGTTCCCTCCGCCAGGAGCCAGGAGTCCTCCCTGGTATGTGGCCTCCTTGCAGAGGCCAGCCCGTCTGCTCCCTGTCACAGTCTGGAGGTTTTGCTGATAAGTGTGGCCTGTGGTCTCTGTGTGGGGTCCCTGGGGACCCTCGGCACCCCCGTTTGAGGGGAGGGTCCAACTGCAGCGAGGGCACCTGCCCGGGGCTTCCTGGTGGCAGGGCCCGGGAATCTGCATTCCAGCCTGGTACTGGCCGTAAGCCCCCAGGGTCCCCCCAGGAGTGAGGCGTGGCCCCCGCCATCGCCCACTCTTGCCTCGCTGCCTCGTACCCACCAGGGCAGGAAGGAGGCCGGTTCCCTCCCGGAGCCTCGATTTCCCAGATCTGGTGGTCCCACCGCCCCTCAAACTCTGCCACCTGGGGGGGGCTTGGCTCAAATGGTGTCACAGCGGAAATGCAACCAGGGGACAGGGGACGCGGCTCCTGTTCGCCTCTGGAGGCTCCCTCGGGGGAGGGGGCGGGCTGGGGGCCGGCTCTGTGCAGAGCCAGGGCTGCTGCTCTGGCTGGGCAGGGGCGCCCCCACCCCGGCTTCCTCCCCCCACCCCTTCTCCCCGCCTTGCTTCCCTGTCTCCTGCCAGGTGCTGGGCACCTGTCCGGGGCCACCTGCCAGTCCGTGGCCCTCGCGGTCCCAGACCCACGAGGCCGAGTCTGTCTGTGCCCGTCCCTTACCGGTGAGCAGACAGGCACAGGACAGTCCCTGAGCGGCTGGTGTGACCCCCATGCGCTGATCCTCACTGTCTCCCAGCCGGGGGCGCCCAGGAAGTCAACTGAGAAGTGTGTGGTGGAGCCCTGGTGCAGTCAGTGTGGCCTCCTGGAGGAAGGGGCGCTGGGCTGTGACTGGATGCAGAGAAGGGGGTGCAGGCAGACAGCACTGAGGACACTGTTAGGGACGCGTGGGGACAGGGAGACCAGGGCGGGCAGAGCTCCGGGAGAGGTCGGGACTGACTCGAGGACCCGCCAGCCGCCCCTTGGGGAGAAGGCCATCTGGGCACAAGTGGAGGCGGGTCTGGGTCAGGATGGGTTTTGGGGGGATGATGCCAGCGGTGTACTGAGGGAGGACATGGGGGTGGGGGGCTCAGGACCCAGGGGCTGGGCTGCGAGCGGCCACGTCCCACCCTCCCCGGGAGGTTTCTGACCCCAGTTCACTTGGCTCTGCTTTTGCTCAAAGCCCTGGCTGGGGACTGCTGTCCTTGGGCTCAGGGTGGGGCCGCCCCTGGGACACCCCCTGCCACCTTCCAGGGTCCCCTCCTGCCGAGCGGCCCCCCGGCCTAGGCACGTCTTTGATTCCTTCCACGGAGGTGGGTGCAGGCCCTGCCAGCGTTGTTAGCGCCTAGCTAAGTTAGCAACGCTGTTACCCTTCACGGGCCACCCCCTGTATGGAAACAGTATCCTGTGTCCCTCCCGCCGCCCAGACTTGTGGGCCCAGACGCAGGAGGTCTCAGAAGGCCCCCCCAGGGTCGAGGTGGGGGTATCAGACGCCTGGGCAGGTACCCCGCCACCCGCCGTGCCTCTCACTCCACGCTGCGCACAGATAAGGCCCGTGCCCGCCACGGGGTCGGCCGCCAGCCTGGCCCGACAGCGCAGTGCTGTCCGTGAGCACCCCCTCAGAGGCTGGGCCACAGGGCCTTTGGGGGTGACCTGAGTGAGGGTGCGGGAGACGGAGGGAGACCCGGGCTCCCCTTGGGCTGGGCGGGGGGTGGGGGTCATCTGGTCTGGAGAAAACCCTAGGTGGGCACCTGGGCTGCCACACCCGTCAGGTGGGGACTTGGGGGGGCGGGGTCTGCATTCGCGCCCACACCCGACAGCAGGCTGGACGGCTTAAAACAATAGAAATGAATCCCCCCAGGGTTCCAGAGGGCGCGAGTATGGACACTAGGTGTTGGCTGGGCCACGCGCCCTCCGGGAGCCGGGGGACCGTCTCTCCCAAACTTGCTCACCCAGCTTCTGCTGGTGGCCGCCTGTCCCCTGCGTCCCCGGCCTGTGGCTGCCTCGTCCCGATTGCTGTCCTGTCGCCCTCTTCTGATAAGGACAGCGGTCAGTGGACTCAGGGCCAGCCTGACTCCCGTATGATCTCGGAACTGACTACACCTGCGAAACGTTTTCAACTACAGTCCCGTTCACAAGTACCAGGTGGACGTGAATCTCGGGGGACACTTCCACCCACAGCGGGGTCCTCCTTGCCTTCTAGCGAAGCCCACCACCACCTCCCTGGTGACCAGAGGGGAAACAGAGATGTGTGTCTGAGAATGAAGCCTGGTGGAGAGGGCAGCCGGGTGGGGGCCCCCAGCTCTGCCCGCTGGCTGCCCCTGCAGCTGCGACTCCGAGGGCTGCGCCGGGGAGGGGTCCCCATCCTTACCGTGTCTCCCTCCCCGCCCCCCCCAGGGTGCAAGATCAAGGCTCTGCGGGCCAAGACAAATACCTACATCAAGACGCCGGTGCGCGGGGAGGAGCCCGTCTTCATCGTCACTGGCCGCAAGGAGGATGTGGAGATGGCCAAACGGGAGATCCTGTCCGCCGCCGAGCACTTCTCCGTGATCCGCGCCACACGCAGCAAGGCGGGCGGGCTGCCGGGCTCCGCGCAGGGCCCGCCCCACCTGCCGGGACAGACCACCATCCAGGTGCGCGTGCCGTACCGCGTGGTGGGGCTGGTGGTGGGGCCCAAGGGCGCCACCATCAAGCGCATCCAGCAGCGGACACACACCTACATCGTGACGCCCGGGCGTGACAAGGAGCCCGTGTTCGCCGTGACGGGCATGCCCGAGAACGTGGACCGGGCGCGCGAAGAGATCGAGGCGCACATCACGCTGCGCACGGGCGCCTTCACCGACGCAGGCCCCGACAGCGACTTCCACGCCAACGGCACCGACGTGTGTCTGGACCTTCTCGGGACGGCTGCCGGCCTCTGGGCCAAGGCCCCCAACCCCGGCCGGAGGCCCCCCGCGCCCACAGCTGGTCTCCGCGGGGACACGGCCCTGGGCGCGCCGGGGGCCCCCGAGGCCTTCTATGCCGGAGGCCGCGGGGGCCCTCCAATGCCCGAGGCGGGCCCCACCAGCCCCTACGGCGGCTCAGGCAACGGGGGCTTCACGTTTGGTGGGGATGGCCCTGGGGCGCCCTCGGGGCCACCCGCCCCCGAGGACTGTGACTTCGGCTTCGACTTCCTGGCGCTGGACCTGACCGTGCCCGCCGCCGCCACCATCTGGGCCCCCTTCGAGCGGGCTGCGCCGCTGCCAGCCTTCAGCAGCTGCTCTGCCGTCAACGGGGCCCCCCCGCCCCCGGCCCCTGGCGCCCGGCGCAGCAGCGGGGCGGGCACCCCGCGCCACTCGCCCACGCTGCCAGAGCCTGGGGCCCTGGGCCTGGAGCTCCCGCTGGCCCGCCGCGGCGGCGCCGCAGACCCGGTGGGCGCCCTGGCCTGGCGGCCGGTGCAGGGCGCCCCGCCGTCCTTCTCAGGCGGCGCCGGCTTCCCCGCGGCCACCTCGCTGCCCAGCGGCTCCTCGGCCTCGGCACGGCCCCCCCTGGACTCCAGCCCCCCTGAAGGCGGCCGCAAGCCCCCGTCGGCCCCGGCCCCGGCCCTGGCTCGCGAGTGCGTGGTGTGCGCCGAGGGCGAGGTCATGGCCGCGCTCGTGCCCTGCGGCCACAACCTCTTCTGCATGGACTGCGCCGTCCGCATCTGCGGCAAGAGCGAGCCTGAGTGCCCCGCCTGCCGCACGCCGGCCACCCAGGCCATTCATATCTTTTCCTAGCGGCCGGGGGCGGGGGGCGCGGGGCGCGGGGCGGCGGGGCCAGCGTTCACAGACGAGCTTTAACTCGGTCCCAGGCGTGGAGACGGCCGCCCAACGGCACCTCAGTTCTTAACCAGTAATCAGTATTGAGTTGACAGGTTAAAATAAACCAGAGAGAAAAGGTCTGCTTGCACTTTTTATTTAAGACTCCCCCGCCCCCCAGGGTGATCTTTTTACGAAAAAAAAAAAGAAAATATATATACATATCCGATTTTTACAACTCTCCGTTGTCCTCTGGGGCTTGGCGGATTTCGGACAGGACCGTGCCGGCCTGGGAGGCAGCCTCAGCCTCCGCAGAGTCCCCTCCGAGGAGAAGGCGGCGTTTTTACTCCCCGTGAGGCTCACCGGTTACCCTTTTGTATGTCAAGGGGGGGGCAGGCTGGAGGGGGGGGCGGGGGGGCCCAACCGGAAATTTCTAACTTTGTGTTTTTAATTATTAATCCCCTTCTGTGGTTTCTGTTGTCAGTTTTTAAATTTTTTTAAATTGTGTTTTTTTTAAGCTTTTACTTTTTACCTCTTGTGTATATGTAGGGAATTTATAGGGAAATATGTACTTTATGGAATAAATTTTAAGAACTAAAATATATTTTATTTTAAATAAAGTAACGGACCTTTAATCTTACACAGCTAAATTACTGATTATATATTTGCTGAGCTGACTTAAGGGTTCAGAAAATTGTATCAAGAGTTTTATTTTTTGACTTTAAATCCTTCTTAATAAAGTCTTTTTGCTACATGTGAGCCCTTGGCGTGGTGTGGGGGGGGGGTGTGGGAGGGAGGGTTGGGGGAGGGGTGCTCAGATCCGGCCCCTTCACCCCCGATCTTCCAGATAAAGGCACCTGGACTGAGGATCCCCGTGTCCAAGCCCACGCTCTTCCAGGAGCCGGGCACTGTGGTCCCAGACGTGCCCCAGCCAGGCCCCCTTTCCTGAGGCCCGGGGCCCCCACGTGCCAGGGGACGGCCGACCATGGGACCAGCTTTCACCGCTGTGGAGGGAGGGGCGGGAGGCTCTGTGGGGGGGGCACCCAGCCCCCTCTTGCAGGAGAAGCTAGTCGGGAAGCCCCACTGTACTGCGGGTCCTGGCCTCCCAGCCCTGGAGGATGTCTGAGTGCTCCCCACACGCCATCCTTCCCACCGGCTCCAGTTGGGAGCGAGGGGCCCACGGGCTGCTGGCTTGAGTGGGCAGCGAGGAGGGGTCTGCAGAACAGAGCCTGCTAGAAAGCTGGGAAGGCATGGGGGAGCGACCTGGAGGCCTTCCAAGAGGAGGCAAGGGGCTCAGGAAGACGGGTGGGGCCACAGGAGGGGCGGTGGATGAGGGACCCCATGTGCGGGTCTCCAGGGAGTGGCGGCCACGTCGGCCCCTCCAGCTGAGCGGCAGCACCGGGGGCCGCAGGGCCGGGCGTGGGTCTGGAAAAGCCGCACATACCTGGGGCTGCAGCTCACTGCCCGGGGCTTCCCCGCGTGTGAAACGGGGCTTCTCCACACTCCCGGCCCCGGCCTGGCCCCAGGACCTGTGAATGGACCGTGTTCGGGAAAAGGATCTTTGCAGGTATAATTGAGGCTCCTCCGGAATCAGGGTGGACCCTAAGGCTAATGACGAGACATGCGTACGGGGGCGCCTGGGTGGCCTCCCCCATAGCGTCTGGAGGGACCCGTCCCGGAGGAACAATTGCCTCTTGTATTAAGCCCCTCCCTTCGTGGCATTGTTACAGCAGCCACGGAAACCAGTACAGAGGGGTCCGGGTGGGGGTGGGCGACACTTGACCTCCGCCCTGGCCCACGGGGTTGAACATGGCTGCAGCGGCCCCGGTGACCTGGGGTGAAGTCAGGCCATAGCCATCCCGTAGGAGGCTGAAAGATGCAATAGGGGCGGGCCTGATCTGAGGACATGCTGTGCTAGAACTTACCAGAAACGTCTGAGGGACGTGCTTGCTCTCTGCTGGGGTGATGTGAGGCTGACAATCAGGATGCCAGAGTTGCCGGGGCCCCTGGGGAAGCTGAGAGACCTCCCAAGGTGGATTCTTGAGCTTGCCGGCTGAGGACCTGGGTCGAGCTGTGCCTGAAGGCAGTCCATCCCAACCGCTTCGTTCTGAGTGCCAGTAAGCTCTCCTGCTTTGTTTAAGCCATTGTGAGCTGGAGTGACTCAAACTCTTGACCTCCAACAGGGGCCATATTCCTGGCCAGAGGGCTAGGGAGCGTTTCCGGGCCAGGAATGCTCAGCCAAAGTAAGGCACATGCCCGGTACATTCAGCTTCTTCACACCTAGACCCATTCCGAGAAGCGGAAGACCGAGACAAGTTTTCGTTGCCCTCTCCATGCATGGGCTCAGCACGCCGATGTGACCCGTTTCCAGGAGCTGCTGAGAAGGCCTCCATTCTGTGTCTCATCAGATTTCAGGGAGATGCTGAAAGCTGAGCCCGCGGTTCTCCCATCTGTGAGACTGAACCATCTGCAAAGTGGGTTCATTGTGGGAATGCTATGTCACCCGCATGACCAGGGGTGTCCCTTGAGAACCCCCGGGGACAGGAGTGATATGTCACCTCATATGCCCACCCAGCGTAGGGGAAAAGAAGCTCTAGAGACAGACAGTCCCATCCCGGCCGACCACCTTCCTGCTTCGTGACCCTGGGCATGTTATGACCCTGACCTCAGTTTTCTTATCTGTAAAATGGGGGCTTAGTCAGGGCTTAATCACCTGTAGCTGAATACAAAGCCTGGCAGATGTTACATGCTGGCTTGTAACTCCCGGCCCTCCATCTCTGCCCTCAGATTAATACATCCCAGAGGGGGTCAATTCAGACACAAGCCCTCTGAGACCAGGAAAACAACAAACAAAACAGAAGAATAACAATGCCTGGAACCTGGAACATGCTTAGTATTTGTTGGATGGATGGACAGATGGATGGATGAGTAGATAGACAAGTGGCGGGTGAATAAATGAAAGGATGGAGGATGGATAGTGAGCAGACAGATGGATGGAGGGTGGATGAATGGTTGGACGGATGGATGGGTAGGTGGATGGACGGATGGATGGATGGTTGGATGGATGGATGGGTAGGTGGATGGGTGGATGGATGGTTGGACGATGGATGGACAGATGGATGGATGGACGGACGGATGGATGGATGGTTGGATGAATGGATGGGTAGGTGGATGGATGGATGGATGGTTGGACGGATGGATGGACGGATGGATGGATGAACGATGGATGGATGGTTGATGGACGGATGGATGAGTGGGCGGATGGTTGGATGGATGATGGATGGGTAAGTCAGAACTTAAGAAGAGGAGAGATGAATTCTGCCTCGGGCTTCAGGGGAAGGCTACATAGAGGCGTTGGGTGGTAACGGGGAGACAGGCTTGGAGATGGTGGAATCCCAGGGCACACTCAGGGGACAGAGAGCAGTCAGAGGGACAGGTGACAGTACTGGGAGACAAGGTTGAAATGCTTAAATGGAACATGGTGTTGGGACCCCTTTAGTCTCATCCATCACAGTCGGGCCTTTCGTGGAAGTCCCTATTTCTGTCTCCCTCACCCCTGGACCCTAGACTTTACGAGAAGAGAGTCACACCAGCCCATGCTGGACTTCAGTGGCCAATAGAATTTAAGTGTAAATGTAGGGGTGCCTGGGGGGCTCAGTCGGTTGAGTGTCTGACGTAGGCTCAGGTCATGGTCTCATAGCTCGTGAGTCCAAGCCCTGCCATCAGGCTCTCTGCTCTCAGCACAGACCTGGCTTCGGATCCTCTGTGGCCCCGCCCTCCCCTGCCCTTCCCTAACTTGCACTCTCTCTTATAAATAAATAGTTAAAAAATTTTAAAATAAATGTAAATGTAAACAGCCACATATGGCTGACGGCTCCTATACTGAACAGCATCATTCCAGGATGTTCCAGTCCAGCGTTGTCCAATAGAACTTTCTGCAATGATGGGAATGTTCTAGATCTGCGCTCTCCATTACAAGAGGCACCAGCCAGCCACACCGAGTGACTGAGCGTCTGAAATGTGACTTGTGCCATTAAGAAATAGAACTTTTAATTTTGCTTTACTTAAATTTAAGTAGCCACAAACAAGGAAGCATCAGGGAAAGTACTTTGCTTGCAAACTTTGAAATGCTTTTAAACTAGGGAAGCAGGAAGGCAGGCCAGAGTGCAGAGACATTGGCATGACTGTGTGTGCAGAGGTCCTAAAACAAGTGTCACAGAGGAGGTGGTGTGTCACCTACATGGCAGAGGGACTCTGGAGGTGGGAACAAGCCCAGGCCCCCAAGGTGGGATGACCCTGGGCGCCGGAAGGGCCCCGGGTCCTCAGGAGAGGGAGGTAGAGGGTCCGAGGCAGACAGACAGGCGGACCCTGCTGCTGGCCGTGAGGATGCAGGAGGGGTCGTGGGCCAAGGATGTAGTGCCTTTAGAAGCTGGAAAAGAGGGGAGACGGGACTCCCTGGGGCTCCAGCTGGCGGGGGTGGGGGAATCCAGGCCTCCCCCCGCCCAGGTGTAAGGACTTGTGAGCCCAGCGCTGTCGGAGAACTGGTGTGAGTGGTGTAAGCGGGCAGGTTTGGGGGGGGATTTGAGCAGCTTGTGCAGGAGACTCGAGCAGCTGAGGTAGAGTGAGAGCCCAGACACCGTGTGGTACCGGAGAGGAAGGCCGTGCTCAAACAGCTCCCAAGGCTGGGGGCGTGTCTAAGGGACACAGGAGCCACCACGTGAGAGATACAGGACACCCAGTTCATCGGAATCATTTTTTCAGTAGTTTGGATTTTGCACGGGACACGCTTCTCCCTAGCAATGGTTGGTCACTGACCCCGAACTTCAGGCTGAGCAGGGTGTCCTGGGTTTGTATTTGCTCTATTAGGTAAGGAGTGGAGGGGAAGAGACAGAAATGCATTGATTTACGAGAAGCGGGCGCCAGGGAGCTCCATCTCGTGGCTCCGGCATTCTGCCTGCGGGTAAAGCTGGGGCCAAGCCTGCAGGACAGGGTGGGGGCGGGGGCGGGGACCCAGACTTAATTTGTTTGTTGGTGCACGGTGAGGCCCGTTTCTTGCCATAGCCGTGAGCGGGTGTGCGCTGGGGCAGGACCGGGAGGAAGCGGAAAGCCCTCAGGCACACGCGCCGCCGTGGACCCCCTGCCC